TCCTCATCATGCTATGCTATGCTATCAAGAGAGCCTAATATTTCTTGGTTTTGTTTTAAAGACTTTTGTGCATAGATTTTTCTATTATTTAAATCCATCCTGTCAACTTCGTCATCAAATAAACCTTATTTTATAGGGACCTTTGGATACTCTCGCCAGGAAAGATTGCCGGTCACAGCACACCTTGTGCCGATCTACAATCTATGTTTTTCTTAAGATGCGAGCGACTTCCGGAACAGGATCGTGCCTTAATTGCCGTGTCACGATACTATCCCGGAAGTCGCTCACATCTTTAGAAAAACATAGATTGTAAACCGGGATCAAGTGTTCTATGACCGGCAATCTTTCCTGGCAAGAGGTTTATATAGGTACAATGCCGACAATTCAATTAGGTATATTCACATTTTGTGAGGACAGTCAAATCGTTAGCATTACAGCGTAGTAATGTCAATTGCATGGTATTTACCTATGATTGTTCACCCTAATCACAGTTATATTCTTTACGTATGGCAATTTGTGCAATTTTCTCGTGTCAAAATATGTCCCTCTATATCTGCTCGGATCCAAAAATCTATACGTCAAGTTACTTAACCAACGATTCTTTTATCCATTCGTCCTCCTTTACGTGAGGCACCTGACAGTTAAGGTCTGAACTAACAGTTTGATGTTCTTGTTGTTTGGATTGTGAGCCTTCAACCAATGAATGCTTGAACAGTAATCTTTTACTGCCAACTAAACGCAGTTCATTTCCCAGATCTTCAATCAATAGTTATACTGATGGTTACTGAAATGATTACTAATGTTAAAAAAAAAAATCTAAATAAATGTAGCATTGACTTAACATGCATCTTTGTTCTTCACTTGCACTTTCCTGTTTTATTTTATTTATATTTATCCAATTTTACTATGTCGTTGATTTTTCTTGCACACTTGTCAAATGCGAAAGGACAAACTTTCTCCACATTGTCCTCTTGTAATTCCCACAACACAATACATTCGAATGTATTGTCGTATTCTTCTCTTTCTTCCTGATATTCAAGCAACATTCAACAAGATAAACCATAACTTTATTGTCGTGCATTGTCGCCAAAATTACGTAATGTACAATAATAATATTATACGTTTCAAAGAAAATGATTAAGTACCTACCATAAAAAAGTTAAAAATACACACAAAAAGGAACGTTAAATTAATTCAACATTCAAAAGTTATTTACACTATTTCTGTAACATCCATTATATTTTACTTCAACTTTTAAACTTTCACAACGTTGCGAAGCCTACTTTATCTGTTTCGTAAATAGTTTTCCATTCATTGTTTTCTTTGTTAATTGTCCTGTACTACAAGTGGTTAAACGAAATAGATAAAAGGCTCCTTGTCACTTATTTAAACGACGCCGACGTCCCAGAAATTTAATTTCAGCAACATTCATTGTTGTGTGCGCTTTCTCATTTGTCACTCATAACTGCCCCCTGCCCTAAGCATCTATCAAAATTGCCACTGATACTGTACACATACACATTGTACATTCTCCACGACTTGTATTACCATTACATCTACAACTAACATTTATGGGCTAAACAAATTTTCATTCAAAAGGTTAATATGCTTTTATTATTGCACATGCAATTTTGAGTAAAACCATCTCAGTCAACGCATGAAACTCGCTTTAATATGTAGTTTCGTTCGCCATCTAATCACCCTCGCAATATTTGAAATTGAATTTTCAGTAGGATCAGGCAAAGAAGAGCTTTATGGCATCTTAATATTACTGCACAGCCCACAATTCAGCAAAGGCAAATATTTAATTACCGGATACCGTTTCCTACGTAGGTATCTTTCGATTTTCAACAAAAGTGCGGACACTACAACTTCTTTAATTATAAATGTGCTAATTACACTTTTACTGCAGACGGCATGCCATTTTGAATGTCAATTTACATTATTGCTGTACTTTTTCAGCTTTTAGTGGCTTAGAATTGTTATATCCTTATCTACCATAGTTTGTCGATCTGTACAATATACTCTCAAACACTTTTATGTAAAAAGTGGCTTTGCAGACCTACATTTTTATTTGAACGTATACCTAATGTAAAAATTTGAAATGATTTCTAAAATGTAATGTAAACATAATTAGTAGGCATAACATCATTTACAGATTTTAATTTATTCATTACACTTCCATTTACAGTAGTTACACTGGTCATACCCTACAATTAAAACATTAAATATTAAATGTATTCACACCCCTAACCCATTGTGTCAGGGTGTTTGATAGCTTGAGGTATTTTAGAATCCACATGCTTCGATCGCTTTCTTTCCACGCACTAGTTTAACGTTTGTTTCAATTAAAAGTTGGAACTTATTTTATACTCGGACTATAACACATTTTATAATAAGAGTCGAAGATGGATCGATTAGAATTAGTCAAACGAATTATACAAGTTATACCCCTGCAAAGGTTCGAAATGGAAAACTGTAAACCAGTTTGCACCCCGATTATTAACTGATGAAGTACTCAACCAGGGAAGGAAATTGAATCGAATTCAGAAATTGCCTTTCCACATAGACATATAGGGAAATTGGAGCAGTGATATCCCTTACGACAGGTAGGTACAAGACCACATATTGCATATGCTATTGGAGTTGGAGTTTCCCCTAGAATTTCGATTGGACACGAACCAAACGTATATTTTGTTAAAAACCTAAGTTCCGCTGACTGAAATAGAAAGCTATAGTGAGGCAGATCATGGAGGAGATGAAACCATCGGCCGGTCAACTACAGGAGTGGTATGCTTATATGCAGGCGGAGTGGTGTCATGGATGAGTCAAAGATAGTCGTTAGTCGCAATGTCTACGGTTTAAGCAGAAATTGTAGCTGGTAGCAGAGCTGGGCAGAATACTTTCAAAAAGTATTTGAATACTAAATAGTAAATACAAATCAAAGGTATTTGAATACTAAATACTTTTACATCCAGCACAAGGGAATACTAGATACAGATACATTGAAAAGTATTCAAATACTTAAAAATAAGTATTCAAATACTTTAGAATGTATTCGAATACTTTCAAAGGTATTCGAATACTATAAAAAGTATTCGAATACTTTGAAAAGTATTTCATTATCTTACTTTGAAAAGTATTCGAATACAGTAAAAAGTATTCAAATACTTGTCACTCAAATACATTAAAAATTTAAAATAGTATACTAGATAAAAGGCTTAATACTACTTAAAAAATCAAGTTATACTTTGTATGGGGTTAGCTTTTTTTATATTTCTATTGTTATATACAAATTTAAGGGGAGTAAAAGCGTATTATTATTATTATATTATTATATAGGAGGTACCTACCAGGACCTTTCTTATACCAGTTATATCCTTAAGAATACGTGTACCAGTTTTCAAAGCGATCGTACGTCGTGCACATGATACGTACGCCTTTCTGAAATTAATCCTAGCGATTTTGGAACAGATTCATTTTTGACCATCCGTTTGTCCGTGTGCATGATAACTTGTTTAGAAACGTGCGATCGCTTTGAAAATTGGTACATATGGTCTCAAGGATTATATCCTTGAGACCATATGTACCTTTCTTATAGAAAGGTACCTATTGTTTTTAAGTTAAGTAGACTATCGAGTTCGGTATTCAGATGTATCGGATTTTTATATTTGATTTTGTGACAATGGAAACTTTTCCTAAACATTTCTAAATTGTTCTCAAATATTTGAATTTGAGGCCGGAAGAAAATAGTCTGAGATCGACCGGGAAAAAACATTTTCCTATAGAATTTGCCCGTAGAATCCATAATTTCAAACAGTTTGAAGATTGGGCTACTAGATCAAAAGTTACAGCCCTTTGAATTTTTTTTCGAAATTTGTTTTTTGTACATAACTATTTATTGAGAGGTCTAATCGAAAACGTACGAATTGTTTTGGATTCTACGCACCAAAATTAATAAGAAAAAGTGTTTTCCCGAGAAATTTTGGTGTAGTCGATTTTTGGTAAAAAAAAGGAAGGTTAAGTATTCAAATACTATGGGAAGTATTCGAATACTTCTCAAAAGTATTCAAATACCTTGCGAAGTATTCGAATACTAAATATTTATGAAAGTAGTTGAGTTACAAATTGCTTCCATAAAGGTATTTAATTACAAAGTATTTGAATACTTTAAAGGATTTGAATACTAAAAAGTATTTACAAAATCGAATGCTGCCCAGCTCTAGCTGGTAGTGAGGTGAACCATGGCCTATGAGGTGAACATTGCGTAATAATACGGCTTTGAGTTGTTTCCCGCTATTTCGACTCCGCTGAGTCTGATTCTGCTTGTTGCCAGGTCTGCAGATGGACCGGGAGGAAGGATGTGTTTTGGAAACAATGCGCCATTTTGGGTGTTGGATTGTGTAAATGGATTTTCATGATTTAAATTTTAAGTACTAATTAATATAAAAAAACTTCTAGACTCTCGCCGAGATTCACGATAAGTCTCATCCCGCCGAGGCGAGATGAAACTCTTCGGCATCACTATTCAACTATATATTTGAATTGCGGATTTAAATCACTAACATACAAGTTTTAAATCGGATTTTTGACTTAATGGTGAATTCCATTTGTTTTTCATGTGAGCTTTCCCATTTTATGTATACGTAAGTATACCAGTTGCAATATATTCGTGGTGGTGAACGGTTCTGGGCCAAACCTTAACTATCACACAACCCCTAAGCTGATACATAGGTACGCGAGTGTAAACGAATTTGTGTTTATTTAAATTTGTCCAGCTAGTTTAAAACAAAACAAAATGAAGTCTTATAATCTCTCCTCGTACACATCCGGCATCTGCTAGGAGAAAGAATCCTAATATTGGCGTCGATCAACTTTCGAAAATATTTACGTAGGTTTCTAATTGGAACCACAGTTTCTTCCAGAGATATTATTTCTTTTCCTCATAAAAGTAACGTGGTCAATTAAATTTGAAGATACTGATACAACTTTATTTTCAGATCCTAACATTCCGGAAACAGGAGAACAAAGGTTGAAATCCTCGCATGGAGATGAAGACTGTTGTTATACGCACTGTGGCTCGGCAGGCAGAGGGGTATGTGTTAACTGTCCCGGGCGGCCTTCCAACGACACCCCAGTGCCAGTGCGGTGTGCGGCCGGTACCGCCACCAAGACCTCCGAATGTAAAGTCATTGCGCTTACCAGCGCCGCCTCAAGAACTTATTATAAAGTGCAACATGTATGGACCGCATGGAATTTATTAACATTAACGCAAATGTGGATTATTAATAATAACATATTAAAATGTTTATTGGTTATGTGCGCGAACAGTGCGCGGACATTGTTCAGATGGATTAAGACTAAATGGAGATCGTGCTCATAGAATTAGGAAAGTTAGGCGATATGTGTTCCGTTCACTTACAAGCCACTGGTTAGTTGGGATAATACAAAATTCATATTCGTTACGTACGTGGTAGGTACTTACGCACAATTTCATCTAATTAATTTTAACACAAACACTGTGACGTACCACCAATCGGCGTTAATTTGAGAGAGCTTTTCTTTAAGTTTAGACCATAACTAAAGAACGATTACGTGCTTTTTGGGTTCTAAACAAACTGACCAACTGTAAATTGCTTAAGGTAAATTAAGGAAAGTGCAAAATCTGTGATTTTGAACAAACGGTGTGATTTTTCATAAACCGCATTACTTGCGGAAGAGGGCTCAACTCATTGAGTGGGGTGGGCTCTAAGGACCTTGTGCCTTAGAAGCCCCTGTGCTTGGGGCTTGTTATCACTATACTTATTTAACAATTGACGCTACTTTCGAACTCAAAACTATCATCGTCATCATTACAAACCATAAGGTATTTTACAACAAAAACATATAGCAATATAATTGGCCTTGGAAAAGATCGTTGCTATTCTTTACAGATGAATAGTAACGTCCCTACTTCAATTTCCGTTTTCACCCCATACGTTTACACATTAGAGCGTACCTTATTTGATGCACCACATAACGTGATAGAATTTTGTCCAATAAGGCAAATTATGCCTCAGTTTGTTTAGTAGCCATTTCGTCATTCAAAGAACTTGACATATCAGACGAAAAACATCTTGCTTTACTAAATAGAAGCACGACATAAAGAGACTACAATAGACGTTAAGGTTTACGGGTTTTGCTGTATCGTGTAGGATTTTCCCAACTGATCAGAGAAGTAGGTGGACTTTCTTTAGAAGGAATATCTTCATGCACATAGAACTTGTCTAGGACTGCAATGCAAATGTGAGACCAGAGAAATACCGACGGCGTGTCAATTACAAGCACTGAAAATTGCGTACATCCAGCAAACCTATCACTATTTAGAAAGTTGTCGATTATCCAATTCAAAATTTTTAAAAAAATGGTTGGTATTAACTGGCTCACATTGTTCAATGGCTGTTGCGAAGTATATGATTCGCTACGAAGATTATTAAAAAAATATATTGTTGATGTTGAAGATACATGATATATTAGTTTTGATTAATTTATTTTGATACTAATAAAGACTTTGTTGCAATATATTTGTATTATAACGTGCCAATAAGTTTAAAGGTCAGCGAGAACCGAAAAACTACGCTTACTAATAGGAATTTGTCACAAGGCAACCGCATAGTGACAGATTTTTTTATAGTATGTGATAGTTTTATTTATTTTAGGTATCAAATCTGTCCGTGAATAGTTATAATTAAACTTACGCAATATACTTGCTAAGCAGCCACCATGCAGTCAACCAAAAAAGAATATTAGCAGTGATCCATCTTCGGTTTGATTCATTTTATATTTTACTGTTAGTTAATACAACGTATGGCAATTTAGACGTATGCAGAACAAAAGTTGAATAATGTTAAACGTGAGATCTTCGTAGACGTTGGGAAATAGATAATCTGAACTGATTGTAGCAAAATACTTCAATAGAACACCAGTAATTTTTTTTCGGTTTTGGATTTCGTTCGGTGCGAAAATGTTTCCCGACTGCCATCATTGTATCTCACAAGTGCTTAGAGAGTACCTATCTGTAACTTTTAAGTGTTATTTTAAAGACTCCAAACGTCAACGATAAAAATACAAATTGCACAAGTTCTTCATATCAACAGTTTCAACACTAACTCGGCTCTGATTTCTATACCGAAAGTATCAGACAATACTTTATTAATTGCATTGCACGCATTTTCGGCTCAAGATAAAACAATCGTTTGCGACGTTTCGCCAACATTATATTTAAAACAATTTTTTAAAAGGGCAAATTGTGGAGATACATTTGTATGAGGACCATTTTGTAATTAAAGAAAAAATTCAAAAATAATTTTTGAATGCAGCCGTGTAATTATATTTGCTTCGAAAAAAAAGTAATAATAATAATATTGAAATGTTGACCAAACCTTGAGAAATCGTTAAAGTATTGTCTAGCACTACTCTTCATGACTGTGTAAAATAAAGCTGCATTGGTTGTAAATTTTTAAACGAGAAACGAGTATACTTCGCGAAACCATGAATTTTTATAATAATTTTAATCAGGGTATTTTATGTGTTATACTTATAATGTTGGTATTTATCATGGCGACTTATTACGAATACTCCTCTAGATTTACGAAGCTGCTACTTTATATACACAGTCATATTTGATTTTACTACCACTAGTGTACAATTATGACTCATTTCAATTGTTTATACCTAGAGGATAACTCAAATATGCATTTCGTGCGGAAATTACATTTAAATAGTTTTACATTAATAAAGATAAATCTAACAAAATAAATCATTAGTGAACTTCCCTTAGTTCTACTGTTGAAGAAAATTTGTCGTTTTTACGAAATTTTAGTGGACTCGTATTAAATTAGGTATCTTTACGTTTTAAAAAAAAATATAACTAGGTCTGTTAGAAAATTTGAAGTTATCCTCTTAGCAATATAGTTAATGCACGAGATATAAAATAAGTTTTTTTTAAGACATCAAATAGCTTTCACATAAAATATGCCAAATCACGTTGTATTATTAAGAAAACCATGTGAAAAGTGTTTGTGTGCGAATGTTTTAGTACAGAAATCAAAAAATATATATATTAAATATACATAATTAATTATATTGAGAATGATTCTACGTAGTTCAGTTCTAGATTCGTCCGAAAAGTACGAGTGTTAGCTGTGTTCGGTAGAGTCTCTGCAAAACCTGTGAAAACAGAGTGGTGTTTGTCGTTAAAAGATTCCATTTTAATTTAAGATGGGTACGTTTCTTTTCGTTTCAGAACTGAAACTATATTAGTACAAAAAAATCATTAAATCAAAACGCAACAAACACCACCTTGTACGATTTTTTATATTGTAAAACGGTGTGACGTTTCCATTAAAAACTATGAATAGATTACGATTACTTTAAGTTTAGTTTTATCCATACGAAAGGGACTCTAAAAAATTAGTATAATATAATGTACCTATAAAAGTAAATATCCGACTCAAACGGTACTAAAATAGAATGAAATAAACAATGCTCATTTATAGGTCATTTATTGTTATAGAATAAATGTTACTAAGGAATATGTCAAAATTGGCGTAAAATATTTTTTTGAAATATATTTTACAATCATACGCATCTCAGATGCGCGTGATCGTAAGATCTCCTGAATCTTTAAAAAAATATTTTTATCAATCAAAAACTCAAGAAACATGTTCTCAAAATGTCCAAAAGAAGCAGGTTTTCTGCATTATGAAATAGCTTTTTGTAAAAGATAGCTCAATAATATACGTTAAATGTAATTTTACAGTTACCGATGCAGAGCTGATTCTTTTTATTAACTTTGTTTGCATTTATCCACAACCAACAAAAAAATAAAACTGAAAGATAGGGTCCATATAGTATCATTTTGCAAAAAAAATGCAATCGAGCAATAAAATATCAACAATGAATCAGCTGGTATCGGTAGATTTGTTATGTTGTTCAGAATATATATGATTATTGTTGCTATTATAGCGTTGTTGTTGTTGTTAAATTTAGAAGATGTTAGCATATTTTATTTAAAAGGCCTTTTACATACTATTTATTAGATTAGTAACTTATAGCAGGATTTTTATAGAGCAAAAGCTATTTTATTAAAACGTTAGTGTAATTTAAATCATTTGTAAGCCTCCTATTTTGTTTGTACCTTTTACACTTGTCGGCTTTTTAAATAAAAATAAAAGTCGAATTTGCTGTAGATTTTGTTGTAAAAGTTTTTAATGTGTGCTCTTAACTAAGAGGGGCTTGCATGAAAAACTTATATATGTATCTTTTTTATAACTCCGGGTGATTTCATTTAAGGGTATGTAAGAAATTACTGTCACTTTTAAGAGCGAATCGGCGAGTGTTTATATCGTAGTTTTTATGAATCAATTGTTATTAATGTAAAGTTATAGATTTAGACTAATAAGAAATATTGACTGGTGAAAGCAGAAATTATAATATACGACACCGTTAAACTTGTACATGATTGTATATGTGTCTTCGTTGTTATGTCATAATGTCTATTACTTAGATACGTCAACATCAAAAGTTATTACAGTATTCGTTTAATTTTCACTTTAAACATTTACATCAATTGAATAATCGCTCTCCTTGTAAATATCTCACTTCATCGCACCAAAATATCTCCCTCTTACCTAAGAGTATTCAAATCGTCAATCGATCTTATTTACTTTATCTTGTGAAGAACATTCATAAAATTTCACAGTCTAATATCACTTTGAATTTTATACTGTAATAATTTTCTGTTGATTCTTTCACTGTTGTAACACCAAAGAGATAGAGTCGGATATTTGCGACAGTGATAGTTGCTTTACCATTTAGATTGTAAAAATTATTAAGATATTTTTGTGGAAACGTTACTTGTATGAAACGCTATACTTAAGTTAACGTTGCAGATTTTAAAATAAGGTTTATCTAATAAGTCCCATGAAAATTGAGTTAAGGTTGAAGTTTTTTTATTAGTGCAAAGTATTATAACATTGAAAAAAAACGATGAAATAAAAAATTTAAACTATCCCTGATTCATGCTGTTAATATTTAACAAACAGTTGACAATAAAGAGCATTTCGGGATATTTCTATTCATATATCATTTTCATTTTTAATTCGGTTTTACTGTTATTCGAATGTTGCTTTCATTTTTTCCATTATTGGTCAGCATTTTTATCCTACAATCCTTAAGTACTGAAAAAAACATGCATTTAACGAAGTTGATGACTACCATATAAAATATCTATTCTACTCTCGCCATTAATATTATTGGTTTTCTTTTTGGGAATGAATGAAGTTTTAATTTTTCTCTATTTACATTTCACGAACGGCAATACCTTCGTACATGACCAGTTTACATGTCGAATCAGTTAATCAGTACATCTAACCACTCACTCACTGATTCTATGTTTGGAGGGTTTATCTTTTCATCGCATCGTCGATCTCTAAAAAAACCAGTAGACCGCCCAAACACAGGAAGAGACAGTTGTCCCTAGTCGAAAGAAAATGTAATGATCAATCGCTTCACGATTTGGTATTATCACGTTCTTGCTTTTTTTATGGTTTTAGTCCACAAATTTGAATTTCACAATTAAGTTTGTAGTATACCTAAACCTGAAATGGTTTGCATATTTTTTGGTCCCTGGTGCAATGCTGCATCTGTCAGTTTCACTTTCATTTTCTTATTTCGTGATTTTCTTTAGTCATAACCTATTGCAATGTGTCATCTTTTGTATGTCTTTCCCTAATGCTTACAGTTTTGTTTTGTAACCCTCTTGTTTGTTGCCAAATGGTTTGTTTCGTGATAGGTATATTGTTGTTGTGTCTTTTACCAAGCATATTAGAGTAGTTAGTGGTGGATGATCCATAAGGCACAGTAACATCTAGCGTAAAGCTCCAAAGGATTGTAGACCCATAGGTGATATTTCAGTAATGAACGCATAAATTAGCTTGCTGCAGAGAATGATGGATGTGATATATAGATTTAGCAGAAGAGGGCATTAGATTGAAACATTATATTACTGAAATATGTAGTTATCAATTCACTTAAATTGTTCTTATAGCGGTAGGTACTAATTAACAAATAGCTTAAACAGTTTTATTTTATAATTTTTTACAGCAGCTTATTAAAAAGTATACTTGTTCAAAAGCCTTGCGAGATTTACATTTTGGGAATGAATCACTTAATAAAGATTTTTTGAATACCTATCTAGTATTTAAATTATTTGAGTGCCTAATTAAGGTTTCCAAATTGGCGCAGAATTTTTAACACTTAAACCCTAAAGTCCCAACACTAAAAAGCAAAACCGGTGTGGAGTAAGTAGTAAGTTAGTAAGTAATGCTCGTTTGCACCGACAAATTTAAGCGGAGCTTAGCTTAAGCGTAGCTTAACTTCCTCGTTAAATTCCATGGCAACGATTATTGAGACAATGGTTGCCATGGATTTTAAGCTATATACCTACGCTTAAGTTAAGCTCCACTTAAATTTGTCGGTACAAACGGCCATAAGTGATAAAACTGAGTTCATTTAATATGATATGAATTGATAATTTTAATTATTGGGGTTAAATATGTACAATCTGGACAAATATTCACTCAACATTGCGACATTAGGTACCTATATTGATTATAGCTATTTAGATAACTATATTTTAGTTTATTGTACAATTTTTGTGTCAGACGGGGAGGTAAACGTTTATCATTGGAATTCAGATTTTGAATTTAGGGACGTGGGTGCGCTGCTCATAGCACTCCCATTTAGTCCCCTTATGCAGCGTCTCTAGGAGTCATAGATGGCTATAATAGGAAACCAACCTTAGACCATATAGTACATGGACTGCTATTATCCCTATGCTTTCAATACAAAATGGGTGGTCACGGATAGAGGGCACTGTAGTCGTGGGTATGCGAATCTCAGGGTAAACTAAAGCCGTATGAACACCACTCGGATCGCGTAAAGAGTAGCTTTTATGGGAACCGCGTAGTACGGGAAGCTTTAAATACTCTTGATTATCTTCTATACGTCCATAAATACGGATAGGTTTGCTTTTTTGGCATATCCAGGCGATTAATTAATTGACGTTTGTTAATTTATAGGTTGACAGTCTCAAATCGTATCTAATCGGACAACTTCGGACAGACTCGTTTACCCTGAAACTCACTAACCCAGGCGATGTCCTTGACCATATTTTCGTTTCAATTAGCAGTCCATGTACTATATGGTCTAAGATACTAACTCTATACAAATTTGTTTTACCGAAATGATAATCTGCGTTTGCTATGGAAACAGTAACTTGATTATTTCATGTTAAATTAGCGTTGCCTAGCTATTATAGTCTTTATTTTTATTATTAGCATTAAATTGTGATTTTTAACACAAAGATGTATAGCAAAAACGACGAGGATGAAATATTAACATGCTATCAGGGTGGTAACGGTTTAACCGTAAAAACAGCTCCAGTTTGTCAGTTTGTTGATTGCTTACAGCCATCTGTTCCATGCTGTGATACAAAAGTATCATGTTTCGATGCATTTGATCGGTTTTTTTAAGTAGGTATACAAATAGCCCGTATTCTAGGACGGATTTGTTTTGTCTATTGATAAATATAGTGTTTCTTTCAAATGCTAACGAATTTCTGAACAAGAAAGTGTTTGGTATTGAGTGCAAAAATGAGGAGAAACCTCGAAAATGGACACATTTTGCTCATAAAAGTAACTTTACTATACGGGTCTACGCAGTTTACGCGTGCATTCCGTGAAAAATGAACGCCCTAAAGCGGATCTAAAAAAGCGGCAGAGAACCTCGGTGTGACCCTACGGGGTCATTCGATTTGACCCATTTTTATTAGGGTTGTTTGAATCGAATCGGTCCAAGCGTTCGTGTTCACGGACGGACAGACGGACACCATCGACTCCCCTATAAAGCTTGCATCGCTTTGCTTAAAGCAGGGACTATAGCACGAAATAAAATCTAAGAGAGAATTGTTTTCGTCTATTCGTTTTGAAATTATGACTACGCAAAAAAACCAGTCGGGTGTAAAACTTTCACCTTCAACTGTTATCTTTATAGTAGCATAGCATAGATAGATAAATCAGTCGGTTTTCAGACGTGTTGTGCGATGGCTTTCACTGTTTGATGAATGAAAAGGGGTGAGTTTAAAATTTAATAAAGGAATACAGATCTCAAATACATTCAATTGACTCAAAAGATACAATTCTGCATTAAGTACGGTTCTAGTTTAATTCTTTGGCAGAATTTTTCAAAATTTTGATTCTTAATAAACGCTCAAAAATACCTACGCAGCGTGTAGTAAAAAACAAGGTAGGTACTTTCATGTGCCTAACCTTTTGGACAATTATAAAAGAAGTTGCAATATTCATTTATTACGGTTTTTTAGTGTATGTAGGTATACCTATCTATCAAGCTTTTGAAGGAATATATTATTTGAAAACGTGTCCAAATGGTCTTTTATGAACATTTTTCTAAAAAATAATTAATTTTTAAACGTTCTTCGGTTGCTGTACTGGATTACAGTTATTGAAAATACTTATTTTGAATAATCCACCCGTCCCAAATCCTTTTGGATATGACCCTCTGAACCGAATGAAAACATTCTTAATTGTTCAGGAGTAAGTAACAAAAACGTGAAAATTATGATCTCGCGGCGATTTCTAAGTGTAGGTAAGTCGAAAATGGTTTTATTTTGGGGAGTTTTCAAGTGGAAATCTCTTTTCTTTGGTTGAAAAGAGGCGGCGGGATAAAAGTTTACTATGCATAAGAGGTACCTATAAATATGTAATTCCTAATGAAATTTGTTTTCGCAAAAGAATTTTCTAAATCAGAACAGTTTAGCAGTCCTTTTATCTAATATTTGAAATACTAAATAATACAAAGAAAGATGAGTAATTGACTTAGATCGGCGAATGTATTGAATAGAAGAAACAAGTTTCAGGTGATAACGCATAGGTACTTTGAATATTTAATTTGTTAGCAGTTATGGCGTGATCGCGTTTCGGGATGGGTTGTACCGATAGGGTACCGTTTACCCTGACTAATTTGTTTAAAGATAACTGCATTAAGATGAATTAAACTATTACAGTGCTTCGTGAATGTGAATTTGATACGAATTTGGGGTCCTGTTCTATCAAAGGTAAGATATGGAAAAGGGAGTTTTACTTTTTGGAGGCAAATATCGGTTTTCTTAACTTAACAACATATAGGCTTGCAAATGTAAACTAAAATGCCGGGGAAAGGATTTTGTTTCATTTGGATACCAAAATAGGTATTCATTAAAATTTAAGAACAGGTCCAAAAGGATCGGTATAGGTACCTTGGCCGTTACCGAATATTTTCCGCAGCGTATTTCGTTTCTAAATATTTCATAAGGAAAAATTATATTCGAGAGCTAAAACTCGATTTACTAGTTGTACATCCGCAGAATAACCTGACAATTTCGACACTAGCGCATATTTTTATACAAAACCAAAGAGTAAAATAAAACAATGATTATTTAAAAAAATTATTTCATGCTTTGGCAAAACAAAAGTAAATTTGATAGGAATTTTTGGTAAAATAAATGCACCCCTTCAATATTCATTCAACCTGATGTATGGATTATGGGCTGTAAATATTTTCAAAAATGGCGAGAGCCGTATGAATCAATTGAATCTTTGTATCTATAGGTAACAGCCCAGATTCATTCATTTGAGCCTTTGAGTTGAGTTGAATTTATTTGTCTTTTCTCCGTCAATCAACACAATAGTTATGTACAGGGTGTAAACCGAAAAGTGGAACATAGGCGTTTAACATGGGAAATTACTTTTTCTTTGCTCAAACGTTTCCTAATTATTCTACGCAAAAATACTTCAAATAAAAGTTACTTACCTATAGAGATATAATTCTGCATCTAAATCATGTGAAACGATTATTCTACCTCTTCTTGTGCGCGAAAAAATTCATTATAAAGATTCTGTTTTCACGAGTTTTTAGGGTCCGTGAACACGATAACTGTCAAACGCTTGGACCGATTGGGATCAAACTTTGCACATTTGACCTATATGCCACAAGTAATAAGCCTAATGAAAATGGATCAGATACAAATGACCCCGTAGGATCACGCCTCTCGGTGTTTGGCAAACGCTTGAACCTATTCGGTTTAAACTTTGCACAGTTAACCTATATACCACATGTACCTAACAAGCCAAATGAAAATGGGTCAAATCCAATGACCCCGTAGGCCGTAGGGTCACACCGAGGTGCTCTGCCGCTTTTTTAGACGCTCTTCATGGGTTTATTACAAATATTGTGAATATAGATATACAAGGTATACATACATATACATAGCAAGGAATGGGACAGCGTGATATCTCGGGAACGAATGTACTAAAACCGTTGAGTGAAAATTCATTATTCAATGGTAAAACTTTGATACAAAACGTAAGCTAGAGCCATAAGAAGTTTTTAAAGTGGATGCGTCATCACCAGGTGGCACTACCTAACTTAAATCTGTTAAAGTGGAATACCCTACTTTTTATTAGAATTTTGGAATTATTACGGTAAATCTTGATAGTATGATCTTTGATTAAAGTTAGATAAACCAATCTCCAGTGGCGACTCATCTAAATCCGCTTTAAGTCGACCGCATAAAAAGGCGAACTGTGATATCTGGGACGTTGTAGATGCGTGTACTGCCTACACCTATAATTTTGTATACCTGTGCTTATACTGATACCAAATAAACTACCTACCTACCACCCTATTCTAATATTCCATCTTGTCCCTCATATTGATTTTTTGTTTATCGCTTATCAATAACGCAAACGTACCTATTGTTTCGGTGACCAAGAACTAAACATTGATGCTTCATGAGATTGATGCTATAGCATCAGTTTGTGGATTTTGGAAGGGGTTGTGTTTAAAAATAAAAAATGACCCCCACTGGAACCAAATTTGGTAAATTTGAAACTTTACACATCAGTAGACTTATACCTATGCCACATGTAACAAGTCTATTGAATATGGGTCAAATCCAAAATGACCCCGTAGGGTCACGCCTCTCTGTCTCTGGCAAACGCTTGAACCTATTCGGTTCAAACTTTGCACAGTTAACATAGATATACCACATCGTTGAGTGAAAAATTACTTTTCACTCTCATGTAACAAGCCAGTTGAAAATGGGTCAAATCCAATGACCCCGTAGGAGGTAAAAGGATGAGCTAACGGTTATTTCATTGTATATTTTTGAAGGGGCATGTTATGTACATAAGTTTAAGCCTCAATTCACAAACAAATACAACATCGCACACGCCTACAATACACGGTTTGATCAAATTAGGGTTCCACAACATAGACTGAATACAACTAACAGTCCCCTATGCATGCCCATTAAGATCTATAATTACCTACCAAAGACCATTAAACACTTACCTTATTACCCGTTTAAAAGAGTAATAAGGAGATACCTTGTAGAAAACCCAAATTATAATTTAAAAATGAACTCTATGCCAGGTGAACTCCTTAATTCCAGAATTATTATTACTAGTTTATTACTTATTTGTTGATTTTTCTATTATGTGTATGACGAATGTATGTAATCTTCAAATTACTCGGACATAATAAAGATTAAGATTAAGAGCTGAAAAACTTTTAGGCAGAATTGCTCACTATCGAATACATTTTCCTATTTTCCAGGAAATTTGTCTGATAGGTATTCTGGCACCATTTGTGTTGTGCGCGGTTGCACCATCTTGTTGAAATCGTTATGTGCTGTACATACATTGTTGTATTCATAATAAAAAATGCTACTCTACTACTTTTACATAAATTTTATTATAAAGACTCAAAAATACCGAGATCTTCTGTGAACGGTTTTATGCAAACAATTCATAATCCAACGCGCGATAAGAAATGTATTGACATCTTTATCAACTTTTCCATCAGCATCCTTATTTTGGACGTAGTCTTCAATCACTGACAAATGAATGGCGCCCGTTTAGCTCAATTGCAACACATAATCAATGTTTCTACTTACCTCCTTTTACTCTTGTTAGGTCTCATTACGAAAAAAACCGAATATATGCATTTTTGAAAATCAATTTTACTAAAAATGTTACCACAGATCTCATGATTTTCAAGGTGTAACAGAATAAAAAAAAATAAGTTAAAAAAATATTTAAGGAGTTTTATTTGTACAAATTTAATAATTACAACTAATAATAATCCTATCATAATTCTGTATGTACATCGGTCCGGTCTGAAAGTAGAAGTGTTAAGAATACAAAACCACTTTACCTTACCTACCTGAATGTGTATCTAAATTTTCTACTGGATCCGGATCAAGAACTCCCGAATCGATCTTTTGTTGTAACTTCCTAATGTCTTCATCATATCCTTTCCACTCAGGAACTATTCTCATAGCTGCAGTCAGTTTAGCCTCTTTGGTCATCGGATTGTTGCACTATAATTGTCGTAAAAAAAAGCTGGTAACTTTGTGTAAATTCTCACCAAATCAATTGTTTTCGCTTGAGCTTTAGATGCATCATCGCACCAAGTTTCACACCACAGCCACTCTTGCGGCAAAGACTTGATGGCCACTTGATGTATCATATTATTCGGTAAATCTTGATCCAAGTTAGATAAACTGTTCGGATCTTGACTGAACGCTTGATATTGACCTCTTAAACGATCTCCAGCGGCGACTCGTCTAAACCTCTTCAAGTCGACCACATAAAGGGCCGAAATATGATATCTGCGACCCTGTAGATGCGTACGCCAATATCCCTGTTTCCAAAACCGAAATCCGTCCATTTCTTTTCTGCTGTCACAGAACGGCGTGTAACCGTAAGGTGCGCCACCTAGATCCAACTGCTGCAACTCCTTCAAATCCGCCCGAACAACCTGATCCGCGTCCACAAAGATAATTTTTTTAACGTCGAGCGGGAATAGGACGTCGAGAAATAGGATTTTGTAGCCCCATATTATTCGCTGCTTTTCCGTTTGCGGGAATAACCATCGTGGCCACCTGTATTGGACTAGTTCGTACTCGAAACCGTACTCCTTTGCCATGTAAGGGAGGAAATCCTGCATATAAATTGTTACAACTTATCTAAACTGTAGCTAATTAACCTTTAGTTGCGGAGATAAATAATTCTTTAGGAACCAAAACTTGACAGGAGTTTTTGTGTGCTTAAGTACCGACAGCATCATTATTCGTATGAATCGTTCGTACAAATGACCTGATGCTAAGGAAAATATATTGAGTTTTTCATCTGATTCGTCTTCGCCGCCGGTGAGCGAACTAAAAGATTAGAAATATATAACGAAAGTTGATTGGAAAAGAATACAAACCTTGTAATTGAATTCCATATTCCAGAATTAGAATCATCATCAGCTAGCAAATCGACGTTATATTTTTCGGGTTTCTTCGATACCTTTAACTTAATCACATTTGAACGTAAGGAACTAATTAATACTTTAATATCAGTATCTTTATTAAGTAAATCCAATTTATCAAGGCTAAAAAGTGGTATTAACACTATGGTATGATTAAAGCAATGTACGTACCCAACTATATCATAGAGATCAGCACTTCTACCTTGTCGCAGTCTCAGAGTCCACGCCCCGGGATTTGCCTTGAGTTGAAAATATCCTAAATTCGACATAACAATGGTATCCACCACTATCGGTTCCTTTTTGGTACCCAAGGTGATTTGCAATCCTCTTGGTGGACTTCCCATGGTGCTTTCGAAGCAGTGGCCCTCTAATAGTAAATATTCCAATTCGTACTCGCTGGAATGCAAAATGAGAAATGGCAAGGAAGAGAAGATCAAGCTCACCTGTGAACCACACTGTCGACATTCTCTAACCGTATGTTATCAAGATCGTATACGGAACGAACGACTTCAATAAGCCAATTTTCCGGTACGTGAATATTTTGCGTGAAAAGAACGGAGTGGGGCATATTTGAAAACCTCGCAATCGGTCCCGGTACTTGCTTGCCTTCGCCATTGAACTGTATCTCCGGCTCCAAAACGTAACGATAGAAACTACAAAAACGCCAGTTAGAGAAGTAACAAAGGGAGGCTTACAAACCTTTTAACGGGCATATCGCTGTTCTTCTCGATACAGTTTAAAAAGACGCGAATATTACAATTTAGTGTTTCTTGTAAAATTTGCAGAACTGGACCTAATTTCTGTGCTCCACGAGAGACCGGATCGACAATGGCGGCGATATCAAAAACTGCTCTGTCTGTATTCGTGGTGGATAGTGACAGAACCGAATGTTTGTCGCCAGAGAAGGTGATGTCGAAGCGAGATTTTGTTTGTGGTTGCGAGATCAGTAGTGGTATCATACGGAAATAGGTATTGCTTGAGATTTCTATAAGAAAAAAATACAATTGTGCCACTGGGTCTCGTTAAATTTCGACAATCATGTAATCGTGTATTAGTCTAGGCTTTGTTTAAAAGATGTTACTTATTTCTCTTCAATCCGCGGACTTTGGATGTAGTTTTGGGTTAAAATTTTGGAATTGGAAACTGCAGAATGTGCATTTTTTAATTCAATTGAATTTAAAATCCATCTGGGATTGGTACAAAAAGATATTAACCAATAAACAATTAGACACCGCCATTCTGGGAGATAATCCGCCATTGTAGGCGTTCAAAAGTAACTAATGGGGGATCAGTTTGATTTGAAATTATTATTAATGAAGCTACCAAGAGGGAAGCTGAAATTTCGGAAATAATATTTTTTGGGTTCGACTTTTGTTAACGACAACCAAGTATTCGTTATTTGTTAAGATTTTTTGGGTTTTTTTAGCCACGAAGGTGTCGAGCAATTGTTTAACCAGAAATAATTAAACGTTACGTACTTTCAGAAATCGTAAACAAATTTCATCAGGAGTTCGATAATCTATGCGAAGTTTTTTTTGCGGCGTCGAAAATTCCAAGGAGACTATTATTGTTTAAAGAGAGGGAATACATTAAATAAACGAGCCTCTTAACAAATTGCCCCGAAAAGACATTCTATCGAATTACAAAGTGGAGCTGATTGAACGTTGTCGTTGTCACAGTAAAATATCACTTATCAGCACTTAGAACATTTATAAAAATCCTATGAAAAAAATTGACGGTATTGGAAATCTCTCCTATTACATTCCACAACAACAAATTTACAAAAAAAAAAACTATTTGCTGTACTTCGTTAGAAGAGTGACTAGTCGCTTATTTACGTCATGTCTAATTAAATTAGGAGGTATGGAGAAGGTTTTGTGTTTTTGTTGGTTATTTTAACGACGAAAGTGAATACAATAAAGGGTTGAAAATTCCTTTCGTTCAACAAAGTCTTGAAATTTTGAACTAAAACTGTACCAAAATGAAATGAATTATTGTTTGCCGTCGGTTATCTTATTCTTTACTAAATTTTTTACATTTTTTTAGGTTTTGCTTACTGTACAGTTTTCCCTTTGCTTCTTTGAAACTACAAAATTTTTAAACACCTTTGCACCTCTAACAGTGCCTTTTTGCACAGTACACCCTGTTTGCAAAACGGAAAAATATAAAAAAACAATTCAAGAGATCTCAAGAAAAATAATTACGCACAGTTCAGTTAAATAATTTCCAAATGATCTGGTCAGGACAATGGGAATTTGTATTAATACTTTTAAAAATCTTCCTATAAATTTTACTATTTGCAAACCTTGGTAATGTTATTTATTATTAACAATAATTAACTATTATTTTATTTATTTTGTTTTTGGAGTTTATTTTTAAGTGGGCGGGGTTTCCGCCAAAGGCTACTTTACCAACCCAACTGAAACATTTACAAATATCCATGTCCAGACGCGGATTTGAACCAGGGACCCTTAGTGCCGCAGTCGGGCTTCCACTCCACTGCGTCACACAAGCCGGCTTATTAAATTAGCTCAGCCTATTTGATTAAAATGGAAACCACTTCAGTAATAAATAAGTACCTTCAGCATCCTCAGCTTTAGCTAATGCACCCTTAACCTTATCACCATACATGGCGGCACTAAATCGGTCCATTAAAGAAAAATCGTCCAAAGTAAACTCTTCGTTCTCATCTAAGGGACCAAGCACACAACCGTTTGCAACGACACCAATATCATCTGCGGCAAATTTCAAAACTCGCTGAGCGTAAACTCTCAGCATTTTAAGAGATAACTCTTGGGATTTTACATGATCTTTGATGTCACTCTGCAAACCAATGGTTTAATTGTGTCGGAAAGGGGGCGGGGGAAACTTACGGGAACATCAAATTTGTCCACATCCGACCGTAGGAAATTCAAAACAAACTTGTACGCTTTTTCCGATGGTAACTGTTGCAAGGCTGCCAACACCACGCTATTTACATAGGCGTCTTTGTTACCATTAATATTAGGCATAAAGGAAACCCGTGTGTCGTCGTTTGTTTTCTAAAAGAAGCACAATAACATAGCCGCGGACAAGAAAATTGCTTACTAAGTGTTCGAGAGCTGCAATGAGTAACTTTTTCGTTTTCGGACAGGCTAAATTTCCGACAATCCAGTACGTCATGCTGTGATAACGCGTTCCCTTTCTGGGTAACTGGAAATATTTTACATTCTCAACGGCGGTGGCTGTCATGCCGCTGTGGGATAGTTTCGCGAGGCTTTCGACGGTCAGTGACGATTGCGGTTTTCCGGACATATCGAGGTAGAAACTTCTATCTCTGTTCAAAATTCGCTGATTCAGTCTCGGCATTACGTTCGGCTGGCCCATGATAAAATCGATTACGTCATCTTTGTCGGTTAGTTTACCGTGGAAGATCGCCTTTTGGAAGATGGACGTTTGTGACATGACTTCTTGCAGAATCGCCTCCTCAAAATCGTTTACGTTTAATTGCGAACTTTGTAATGGTATGCCGTTTATTAAGGCCTGTGGGGTGGTATGTAAGCCGGTTCGTTGAATGAAGTCTTCGGTAAGTTGGCGTCCAAAGTCGTAGGCGGAATCTTCTCCTAGTACTTCATCGTAGTCGACGTCGTATTTTCGTTTGAGTTCAGTTTTAACGTCTTCTACAGTAACCTCATTATTTGACGACTTGTACAACTGTGAGCAAAGATATTAGGTAAAAAGCTCAGAAATCAACCGTAAGGACCCTGATTTTAGAATACTTACTGATGTTAAAAAGGACAATGCAGATACTGGGTCGTGCTTCTGTGAAACATAATTAAACGCGCACAAGACTGCAACCCCTGCATCTTCGAGTCCATTAACACTTAATGTGGAGTTTGTAGACAACACTAATCCAACCCTTAACGGAGCAGAGTGCACAACTAACGATTCCAATAACATCAACACTCCCCGCATCTCGACGTCGACTGCCTTGATAATCAAGACCTAACAGAGCGATGAGTAAACGGCGTACAGCACGCGAAGACATACCAAGTTAAAAAGGTTTCTCCGAACATGCCTCAACATCCCCGGAAACGTAGGTTTAAGCAAATCCATAACACTGGAAGACCACCGGTTATACCTGCCATCCTGCTCGATATCATTAATCCAATTGATGGCGGAGTCACGAATGTCTATTGCGAAATCCTGCGTCTCGCTGTTTGTACTACTAAAATCCAGTGCCATAAGTGATTTGATACGTTCGTTATCAATTCCAATGGTGTGTAATCCCTGCATCGTCCTTTGCTCCTGGCGAAGTACATCGAATATGGCATAGAAGTCGATTAGATCGAGGTCGAAAAACATTCCGTTAATAAACAGTGCAGTATCGGAGGAGCGCAAATTTAAGGTGGAACCGAATACCTCCTGGTTGGCCTTGATCTCCTCCTTCATATCGGAATTAACGACAGTCTTCACTAACGATTTCGCCTTAAACATACTGGTGCAAAATTTCGGGGCAAATTATGGCTCTGTCGTACCTGCATTGGGAAATTCTGGGCAATATTGGTAAACACTTTAAGTGCTTCATCTTTCGGGGCATTCATGATGCGCTGCGCTGCTTGTAAACTTAGTTCTTGAAATTGCCACACTTTCAATGGGGCCATTTCGTTCGAAGTTTCTTCTAAATACTGTTTAAATCTGTCCAAGTCTTTCTTGCGATTTGGAAACAAGCCCCTAAAAAGATAAATAATGGCGGTTTCAAATAACGAAATAACATATAATTTATATTTATTATTTATTTATAATTTATGACAACCGTCTATGATTTGAGTCAACTGACACTAAATTTTATTGACGATTTTTTCTAATTTGGCTAGGAAATCGGTAGATTATGTTTGTATTATTCTTAAAAATAAAGCAAATTCCAAGGCGCTCGAGAATTTCAAGGTACGTCACGCTCAAATCGTCAGATTAATCAAATGCACACCTTTCAACATGTAGTCAACCCACCTTACTCCATGGTACAATAAAAGACAAGGTATGCCTATGCGTGACGTCATTGGGATAACTGGGCTCTACCGTTCAATAAAGTAATGGGGTTTGTGTAGTCCTACCAGTTAATAAAAGTGTATCCCCTTTACGGATGTGATAAGATTTGTTCAATCCATGTCAACTGCGTCAAGTTTCTCACATTAAACTTACAAAGTATCAATTATTGCATGTTATCAATACAAATATTTAAAATTACAATAAAATATGTAAGTAAAAAAAGTAAAAATTATATTGGCGTTTTCAAATAAGGACGAGACCTCTAGCGGCAATAAAAAAAACTTAAAAGGCTAATGAAATTTCTGAAATAAGTATATTAAGTGGTACTTCTCTGTTGCCTGATATTTATTTCTAAATGCATTTCGAGATGCAGTCAGTATAATTACTCAACCAACAATAAAGAGGTCATCTTGATCTGTTGTGACACAAGATTTCGTAGCCAATGTAATTTTGTAACCAATATTAAGAAACACTTTGGAGCACATCTATTACACATGACACTTCCGAGGATTGCCACCAAAGTTATTTATCCATCATTATTACACACTAATTGAGTAATTATTGCAATGGCACTTCTAATTCAAGTATGAAGCGTATGTCATTTTTAAACTTCGCGGTGATTCTTGTGACGTCATTGGGATAAAAACGTCATCTGCGTTTAGTTATAGGCATACCTTATCTTATTGTACCATGCTTTAATCTGACTCGGAATATTTCTAACGATCGCCATTTTTTACTATTCTGAAGGGCTGTCTTAGATCCTATATTAAAGACTTATACATGGTGTCCATTTTTCGAGTGCCACTATGGGGATCTCACTTATCTTAAGAAACAGAAAGTTGGTTAAATGGGGGCAAAGTTGCAAATTTCCGTGCTGAATAAGAATCTGAAAAGAAATTTGAAATACCTTCAATAGTTTTGAAGATACCACAAAAAAACGAAAATTTCTGATTTTCGTTTTTAATTTATTTATGATAAACTAGTCGTAGTAGACATTTCTAATTAGCACATTATTTGGACACTTTTAATGGAGATTTCAAATATCGCATCCTGTTTTTAATTACGTTCAAGATGGAGAAACACGTGGCAACTTTAGTTTTTCTTATGGGCGCCATATTGAATTTTGACATTTTGGTATTACATCTTTTTTTCTCTTTACAACGATATATCACACATAGTGGTTCAGTATCACATTTTTCCTAAAAATACAATTTTTAATTTTTTGAGAAGAGTGCATTGGAAAAACAAAACGTTCTTTTGTTGTCAACAACAGTTTGACAGTTTGATCGATCTGTCTGGTTGCAGCGTTGTCAGAGAAGTAGAAATTCGATTTTCATCTCAACCGCTTGCAAAATTGCCTGCTCATATTCATTGGGTCTATCACCATATTCCTGTCTACATCTTTTCAAAAAACCATATTCGCCCAAGTTTTTATGCAGCAAAGAAAAATACCTCAAACTAGGTTGTTGCCCCTCTGGATAACGCTGCAAGTATGTTGCAGCAGTCATGTGGGCATTTCGATGAGAAGTGTAGTAAATTTGGATCATATCTCTTTGATCTGCACTTGAAAAAGGCATTTTCGCATTACAACTAGCATAAACCTAAATGACACTACATGAAATAAGTCAACCTTTTGTTCACAACAAAAGAACGTTTTGTTTTTCCAAAGCACTCTTCTCAAAAAATTAAAAATTGTATTTTTAGGAAAAATGTGATACTGAACCACCATGTGTGATATATCGTTGTAAAGAGAAAAAAAGACGTAATCTCAAAATGTGAAAATTCAAAATGGCGCCCATAAGAAAAACTCAAGTTGCCACGTATTTCTCCGTCATCTGGAGAGTTATTAAAAACAGGATGCCATATTTGAAATCTCCATTAAAAAGTGTCCGAATAATGTGCTAATTAGAAATGTCTACTACGATTAGTTTATCATAAAAAAAATAAAAACGAAAATCAGAAATTTTTGTTTTTTTGAGATATCTTCAAAACTATTGAAGATATTTGAAATGTCTTTTCAGATTCTTATTCAGCACGAAAATTGACAACTTTGCCCCCATTTAACCAACTTTCTCTTAAGATAAGTGAGATCCCCATAGTGGCACTCGAAAAATGGACACCGTGTATGTGGTGGTAGGACTAGAATGCAAGGTATCCCTCTCTATGTTAATCTGTCGCTGTTGACTTAATTCCAAAATGCCCTATGGGGCTCCCCTACTATGATAAATAAGTTTTTAAATCAGAAATTTATTCAAAGGAAGAAGAAATCGGGAACCCGTAGAACTGCTTTGTTGAGACGGTCGTATTCTGCTGATTTGTTTTCCTCATCTCCATTTTCTGTATCAATGCTACAGCAAGTGCTCCGTTACTTTTTTTTGTTTTCCTCATGAAATTTGAACATTGAAACACAGCCAAAGTGTAGAATAACTTCTTGATAACAAGTTAATCCATAAGTATATTTTCACACTTTCTTCTAGTCTTTGAAATGTTCTCTTCCAAATGTAGGCCATCAAAGAAATCGAGTTAATTTGAAAAACTGACCCCTGGTGCCAACGCAGTGGGAGACGGCAAATTCCATTGTGAACATTTTTATGATCGGACAAAAAATTGTAGTTGGAATTTCAAAAACTAATTTTGGATTCATTGAAAAATATCCTAAATATAGGGATTTTAATTTATTTTATTTTATAAGGAGAAAATGTCCCATGAAATGGGCAAATAATGACTAAAAAATAGGAAAGAGTTAAATTCTGAGATAAGTTAATGAGACTCTGCTAGAACTAAGAACGTCTATAAAATTAACATTAAAATCACCGCATAAATACCACATTTTTAAATGTTAAGACGACTTCATGTAATCGATCTTCTAACAAATTGTTTAGTACCTACTAACACAATTGCATTTTTCGTAACCTTTTCAACGTCATCCTCAAGAACCATCAAAACCAAAATGGTGACACAATTGTTCGTTAACTATAATCAAATTGAATAAATGTATTATACATAAATGAGTATTTTGTCACGGTAAATTGATAAGGAAGTATTTCATTAGCAGAAAAAAATGTGGTTTAGATAAGGCACGGTACCTATTATTTAAAGTTCATTCTATAATCTGCTACAACGGGCACCAATGTTATCGTAACAGTCCTCATTTTTAGCTTCCTAGCATGTGCTAGGTAGCTATTGCGATAGCCGTTTTTTGAACATTTCAAAATTTCATCAAATATCGACGTTTTAGATCATTTTAAGCAACTTTTAAAGAATAAAATTTTTTCCGTCTGTATGTATGTACGTACGTACGTACGCGTTTGTTGGCAATTTTCTGAGAAAAGGGCTCGACGGTTTTTGTTGAAATTTTGTATATATGTTTTAGGCATACCGAACAGAAAAATAACGGGCCGGATTTTTGAAAAAAAATTTTGGAGCGTCGTAACGACATCGAACTTTTTTTTCAAATAGCAACCTAAAATTTTTATTCTATTAATAGGAAGACCTTATTTTCCTGTGTACAACCTACAAAAAATTGGGCCGGGTTATATTATCAAAAAACGGAGAAAAAAATTGTCAAAGTCAAAAAATTGTGTTGCATATGTGCAAAACGCAACGATCTTGTTTCTGAAGCAATTTAAGTGTGGTGTCACACTATGCGTTTTTACCGTTCCCGCTAAAACGGATGCGGTTTGACAGGATGAGATCTACTTGTCACACTATTCCGGTCTAACGGGATGCGTTTTTGCTATATTTTGGCAGTCTAAGTAGTGTCATGCCTCAATTATTGTTAAAGATGGTTTGTGCGTTTGAGGCGGAGGGGTTATTGCGAAAGCAGAATATCCTCAATATTGGATTGATCTTTTTAATTCAGGACGAGAATCTAATAATAAAAAATTCGAATGAACAAGAAAATTTTTTTTTGTATATTACCGTCCAAAAATTCAATTTCTACCCATGATTTCTCCCTACAGTTTTTATCTACATACTCTTTAGATTGTTTTTCCCACAGTGCAGTTTTTGCATGCACGCACTCGATGAATAAAACATTGTAAACCTAACAAAACACCCGATTGCAACGCTCAGTATGACAACTGATGACAACCAACATGCAACAACACGTGGTTTCATGTCATTGTGGTTGTCATGTCATCCTGCGCAGCGGCAGCAGGATGCGGTTGCATCCGGTTGGTGCGGCGAAAACGCATATATGTGACTGGTACCATTTAATAACGTGTGATATTATCATCCCATCAAACAGGAGCGTTTTAGCGGGAGCGGTAAAAACGCATAGTGTGACACCACACTAAACGAAATTTCTATGGTAAGTCCCTTTAATAAAAGCAAACAAAATAAATGCAATTTTCTTATTTATGTAACAATTAAAACGAAATTTGGATGGTTGGTAGGTCCTCCTAATAAAAGAAAACAAAAGGCATGCGCAAAAAATCGAGTTGCGCGGCAATTTTTGGTTTCAGCTAGGAAGCTATTCTGTCAAGAATTTGACACCTGGTTTCTAAACCACCTTGCACATGAATTTGTGTCACATAATCTTTACTTGGTATAGGATGATAGACGTACACAACTTTGCGCATGTGTCAGTCATTCAGTAGTACCACTATGTAGGAACAGGTAATAGACGTGTTTAAATAGATCTATACAAACAAGCACATTCAAATGAATCTGATTTTTGTGTGTTCAATAGATCCATTCCACAGCAATAGATCTGTTTAACTGATCAAGTCAACTTGCTTATCTAGTCTCTCTGTAACTCTGTTTTGGTCCAAGGACTTCTCAAACAAGACCAATGGGATTGTTAACACCAGCGTTCTTATATGGTACAACACATCAAATTATACGTTAATTGCAAAAAGCAAAGCCTCAACCTTGATCTCAAACTTCAATATCAATTTTGTTTTGTTAATCATAATCCTTACTAAATTTACTAAATAATACTTATCCTGACGTGTGATAAGGCCCAATGAAGTATTTGATTAGCTCTTAAAAGATTAATCTGTCAGTTTTTGGGTATTACACTAGTCAAAAGTACTAATAAATAATGCTTGAGCTTACTTGAGTTTGACAAAATTAAATCCTTCGATATCAACATCTTCCTCTTCCCCCGAGCTCTCTTCGGAACTGTGCTCGTCATGTATTTGCGTATCATCCTGAACTTTATACTCTGTCGACTTCATCTGTAGTTCTACACCATAGCCAGACAATCTCAATTGTCTATCCTCGCGATTCTAAGACAAATAATAGTAGCAGAATGATTTTTCTATGAAGCTGCCCTACCCTGACAAAGTGACGGAAAATGTAATCGATCTTTCTGTCTATTGCTAGCTCTTTTAGCACGGCATGAAACTGGGCAAACTGCTTAGTGCCCAGTTCTCCATACAAGGCTGCAACTATGTTTCGATTTTCGGAACCGGGATAATGAGTATCAATGTGATAAACGTCCAAATTTTCTTTTCCCTCACCCTATAAATTTGTGATGCCATTCAGAGATTAATACAAGATACAGACCTGGCTAACAAGCTCTTTAATATCCTCCAAGTTACAAGTAACCTTGTCTCCTACTTCAACTACAGTCTTACACTCCGGCAAGGCCTTTTCAGTGGCGATCTGGGCAAATGCCTCAATTTTTGGCGAATAAATATGAAGAGAGAGTCCCAGCTTTAACATGGCCAGTTCTGATTGCCCGACGAGCTTCGCAACCTCATTCATTATCACCTCGTACCTCTCCCTATCGTTCTCTAAAATAATAGCTTTAAGACAAAGGCCACGGAATCCCTCAGCTTCTACCTATGGCTTCCAATGGCGTACTTAAATTGCATATTGAGTCGATAAAATTCCAATAAAAATCTACATTTTCATCACCCAAATATTCGGCTACCTCCAAAACCAAAGGGGTCACTTTCCATTTCGCATCCAACAGTGTTGTCACCGATTTCGATTTTGATTTCGAGCTTGCATTTCCAATTAACAACAAAAAGCACCCTATTAAACTAATCACTAACTTGAAGTACATTCTAAAAAAATTAATTATAAATATTTTGCAATAATATAACCTTAAAGAAACCTTAAAAACAACCACTCGCGCGTTTATATAATTTATTTAAATAATTTAACTATATACATGAAAACTGGGAGATTAATTACACGCTTCGCTTAACCATCCCGTTGTTTTTAATTAAATAATTCTAGTTTAGTAAAAATGATTTTGAGAAAATCACCAAAAACCATCGATTGCCGGTTGTCATAATCCTGGGAGACGTTGACCAATCAGAATTGTACAGCGTGCTCTTGTTGGAGAGGTGGGCCTCCCCCTCTTCCCAGTGGCGCTTGTACAGGGCGATCCAAATTGAACACTTACTTATGGTAGCACCCTTTATTTTATACAAGAAACCATATTATACTTGAAATCACGAATCTTTGTCCCTGCGTCATTGATTTGTGAATCAATTTCAGACAAGTTTTTTATCGATTTCGCATACTTGACAGATATTACAGTGTTTTAGCGTATGTCTGAAATTGATTCACAAATCAATGACGCAGGGACAAAGATTCGTGATTTCAAGTATATAAAATACTCTTCTATGTGCCGTTTATGAAAACCGCCACAGGCGAAACGAATCCAATGCTGTTCAGAATCGCCAATCTGATGCAACAGGTGACTTTCACTCAGGCGCGTGCGTTAGACTTCACTGCTTGTTGTCTGAGTCTAGTCATTATTTGCGTTGTAAGTTTGCACAATAAGGACCATTTAGCGTAAAATTCCAAAACTTTATAGGTTCTAGAAAACCATGAAAACTCCGGAATGCTCTGGCAAAGGGTTTAAGGGATTAAAACGCGCCTAGAAGTATTTACATTATTCAGGGATCAAGTATAACTCTTCTAGAAAATCGAGAAAACCTTCTAAGAAATTAGAAGATGTTGGTCTTGTTAAAGTAAAGTGTATAACATCAACATCAATCTAACCTATTGTACATGTAGAACCAATGTGCCGTACTTATATAACTTTCAATTTTTAATTTGTATTTCACAAACTGAAGATGATTATTCGAAATATACACTTTACCTTTGCTCGAAACATCCTGTACAGTGCTGAGTGTCACAACACCGCCATTAATGATATGATAGCCACATCCCATTCAAAATGCGTCTGTGCGATATTTGTATTTATAAAATGGCTTCTTTTGTTGTTTGAAAAAAGAATCTCAAAAAGTCCTTAGTCGACAAGCATAACAGTATTAGCTGGTTTACCTTCGAGCAGCGTATTAGTCAAGTGTGTACCTTTGTTATACCAAAATACGAAAAATTGTTGCTACTGATGTTGCTGAATCAGTTTATTTGCTGTTAGCACAGTTTGTGTATCTAGGCTGCGGCTGGTAGTTGATACGGGCGCCATTTTCATACTTTAATAAACGGTTGGAGTCTTGGAGTAACTTCTTTCGTTTAAACATCTCAAGCATTCAAAGATGGATTCTGAAAATGGTAACTGGTTTCTTATAACTACATGTGTTGACTATGGCTGTTTTAGGTCTTCCGTTGGGTAAAAGGATTACCTTGCACCGTAATCCGAGTGGTAAGTATTGAACCACCCACATCTTTACTTGCTTTATTTCCCGATTATTTACAGTTAATAACAAAGTACAAGAAAATTTAAAGACGTTAAGATTACACATGGCAAATAAAAAGCATGCTCAAAGACTATATTATGATAAACCTGGGCGAAGCCCTTTACTTACTAAACCGATGAACAAAACATCAGTGCACGAAAGACTAGGTCACCAGAGGCGAAGGCCGATGGCATACGACTTTACCACGGACAATACTATTATTAGAAATAAACATTTCCAAAGGCAACAAAATAATAACGGCATTATCAAATATAAAAACAGACAGCCTCTCACTAAAAATTTAGGAAAAATGAGACTGCAGAAGTACCGGCAGCACCTCGCAGAAAACTTACCAGTCTTTTCCAGAATCAGGTTGAAAAGGAACACGGCTTCATCTCAGCCATTTAATTGCACTGTAGAAGTCAAAAACAATCATAGTGTTCACAACGAAATCGTGCAATTTTCTAATCGTCATAGCGTGAGAGGATCGGTAAACCCCAATCTGCAGGAGGAAATAAGAATTTTGCAATCTCAAAATGTGGTAGAACCCAATTTCATACCCAACGAAGCCATTCATACCGTAGGTTACGGTATAACAAAGATATTATTAAATAACAGATTTTCACTTTTAGGTTAGTTTCTTAATAATTGAGTTAATTCTTGTTTTTTTGGACATTATGTAGATTTTCTACAATTAAAAGTTCAGTTGACATTATACATTTTGATTTCTTATGGCCGTATGCATCGACAAATTTAAGCGAATCTTTATAAATAATCCATGGCAACGATCATTGCGACAATGGTTGCCATGGATTTTAAGCTCCACTTAAATTTGTTGGTGCATACAGCCATTAAAGGCCAATTCATACTGTAGCTCAGGTGACGCTCTGCTCACGCTCCACTCAAAATATTGTAACATGCTATTTCAATAGGAATATTCACATTTGACAGTCAGGTCTACGATTAGACGTAACATGTGTGTTATGCTGTGGCTGTATGTGGACAAGTAAGCTCAAAAACTCTGGTTTTAGCTTACTATGGTCTAATACATTCTCAAATTAATTGTGCAATTTGTTGTTGGGAACACTTCCATCATTTGAAGTGATATAGGTATTACCGCTTACAGCTAGAGCGAATATTTGGAGTAAATTCAGCTCTTTGAATATACTCACGTTACAATGTTTGTATAGACAGTGTGTTCCAATTAAAATGCACCATATAGGGAAACTGCTATGTATTTTTTCGCACAGGATCCAAAAGGGCTTTGAAATTAACGTTCAACGTACTATTCCAATCATTTTCTAGCATCAGACAAGTGCAATAACGTACGTTGAACACTAACTTCCAATACATATCAAAGGCTTCCTGAATCCTTTGCGAAAAAATACATCAATTCTGTTGGCCTATGGTGCATTCACCCTCGGATGCACGGTATATTCTTATTTATTGTATACTTTACAAATTCAAATCCACAATTGCAGTATCAGGGGTGTTGAACTTGTGAAGCATCCATAGGTATGTGTGATTGCAATGCAGTAGATATGCAGGCCAATTACTACAGTCCTCTTTTTAAACAAATTACCTCGTGACATATAGCAAGGCTACCAACCAAAACATTCAAACCAAAAACATTTAAAAATGCATAATGCACACGAGCTCAGAAAAGAAAAGAAGGATGTGGAAGTATTTTACAAAAATTTCGGAATGTACTACAACATGAATGTTTAGTACACTTCGGCCATTGATTATATACTAGTATATAATCAATGACTTCGGTCTATTTCTTATACTGCATTTTCACTTTTTTTTATAACTTGCGATTATTACATACTATTTTCATTTCCTTTCTGAAATGTTAATCCTATAAAAGTACCACACGTAATTGCCATATTGGGCGCTCTGAATATTATTATTCAAAACAAATAGCCCACCAAGAATCTGACAAATACTAAATAACAAGACGTAATACATAATGAGGTTTAATCAATAACATATAACATTGTTTATATATTTAAAAAATGAAAGTTAATAAAATACTTTATATCTATTCACAGGCCGCAATAATCTCCCAAAATTCTCTATAGAAGCAAATTTTTGTGCACTATATACAATTTCGGATAGTTAAGCATTGCCCAAAGGTTAGCTGGTTAATTTATTCAAGCTACAACTACGTGTGGTCGCCGAGAATTTACTTCTTCTTCTTCAACTCTTCAAATCTTCTCGTCAGGTCGTCAAAATCAATATCACTGCTGTGAGTTGGTGCCTGGGGCGTATCGGACGGTACAGACGGTAAATCGGGCAGATTAGGAAAAGAGTCCCCGGATATTTTCGGCTGAAGATTTTTAGCTGCATCATGATCTGTGTTCTGTAACAACAAAACTATCAATAACACTTGTTACGTTATACATACGTTTGATAAAAGCTTTATCGTTCCACCACCAAGATTAATATTTGTTAAAGAAAATTAATGTGACTTAATACTAACTTCAAAATTGTAATCTTGAGAGGTCGCCATACTGTAAGTCGGCAAAGAATCGTCCTAGAAAAGACAGCAGATGTTAGGGTGACCGTTCTTTGAGTTTGGGTGAAATAGCTACATTTTTAATTACAACCAGAACTTATCGTCACAATAAGCAGGGGTTTCTAAAGGCTATCTTCTTATACCTTTAATTGCGTAACCTACCTCATTTTTTTCTGTTGCGGTTTTGTTTAAAAAAAAATTTTAAAAATAAAAAATTCTGTGAAAAAATTAATCACAAAATAACTTATTTGAAACGTTTGATAAAATGGATATTTACAAAGAGAGATACACCCTTTATATATTCACGTTTTCCCTACTGATTTTTTAAAAATTTGGGTGTGCCACAATTCGCTGCAATTATTGTTTTCTATGCTTACAACACAACTATTTAACTTGATCATTTTAATAACTTTTTTGCTGATGATGTTTCCAAAAAAACCTTTAGAATCGTTTCATCATCCAATGCTAATCCGCTCCAGTGTGTAATTACTCATATTGGAGACGATTTCCCATTTGAACCAGTCACTTAGATCCAAATCAAAGAAACGTTCATAATCTCAAGAAACCACCAAATAGAAACCGATGTGATAAATGGTAAAATAGATCTATTCGAAAATCTGATCCAACCCTTGACCAAACTGTACAATTTATGCACAATGCATCATTTTTAAAACTAATGAAATTAGGCCCCAGTTAGAGGACTAATACAGAATACCTTATTTACTTGCTTACTTCCAACAGTAGAAAAACTATAAACACAAAAGACAAGTTCATGAAATCAGTTTCATTCTGTCATTTAAGAACAAAAGCAGCCCGCAAATTAGTAAGCAATAGAGGACAGCAATATCAGTGTTACAATCGCAAATTGAGAATATACCTGATGGTATGAGATATTCGACTCCTTTGACTCAGGTGCCGGTGGAATATTATAAGAGAAAGGTGCTCCAAATGGTATTCCTCCTTTGGGATCGTGCGGATGCCCGCCTACACTAAAACCAGGTGACGGATCTTGAGGCGGCAAATTCTGCAAAATACGCCCATCAGCTCATATCAAACAGCTTACCACACTCACCGGATAATTAAAAGGCGCTGCCGGAAGAGAGGGCGGCGTAGGATACGTGGGATATCCAATAAATCCGGCAGGCTGTGGATCTCCCAAGTTGTTCCGGTCGCTTAGGTCAATCAAAATTCCATTAGCTACAATGGGATGAGAAAAATTGGACCTTATAAACACTACCAACCTTCCTCCTGCATGACTTGTGGATCCGGCTCGTATGGAATGTTGTAATTCTTGGCTATTTCGATTAAATACTTCTCGACCAATAGCTTAGGCGGGCTTTGAACTGAAAGTTTATGCTTCAATTTTTCACTAATGGTCTTGACATCCTCTGTCCTGCAGCTCTCACCGTACTGGTGGCCGTATTTTGAAGTGAAGATTTCGGCAATCAACTTCAATTCCTTAAATTAGAAATAGCTATATAGGTGACTTTTTTGTGCTCGGACTTTAAAGTACGAATTTACGAGATACCTTACACTCAAATTCAGACTATAAAGTCTGCATTCAGAGTATTTGTTAAAAAAAAAATCCTGAACACTTTCCAGTGCTTTCTAGGTAATTTTGAAAGCCTTGAAACATAACAGTATTTCTCAATGTCTTCCCATAGTCTTTGAGACTTCACAAGATTCTCTTCTGGAAATCTCCAGATCAGTTTCAGACCCCTGGGAAGAACTTGGGAAATGCTAAAAAGCTTCGTGGACCTTTCCAAAGCAACCTTCACAAAACAATTTCACGGAAGAAGAAAGGCTTGGAAGAGACATAACGTGCACCGGAAGAGGTTGATACAGAAAATTCAAACTTTAAAGTCTGGATGCAGATGCCCCTTTTTATACCTGTACATCAGCAAACATTCGTGGCGACACCCAAATTAAGCTAGAAACGGCCTCGGCAATCCCATCATCTAACTCCTTCATTTGTGTAATTAAGCCAAACCTCGCCAACAGCAAATCACAATACATTTCGACGATTTCCATCGCTTCTACGAGATAGTCTTCCCTGAAAGAAACCAGTGACACAAGACTGTTTATTGACAAACTGTAAGCATACCTAATAATGTGCTCGACTCTAATCTTGGCCCTTTCGTATTTACCAGCTTGTATGTAATCCGCTATTTCCCTTCTGGCCTTCATGGTCAGTTCTGTTTTCTTCTTTTCTAACAGCTTCAACCGATTAAGGGCCAATCGGAGGTTGGTTTTTAATTTCGTGTAATTTGGCGAACTCGAGAACATTGCGAATATGATCTTGTAGTTGCAATGGGTTACAACAAATTATAGTTAATAACAAATTTATGTCCGAATTAGTGAATCATACTGTAATTTTTATTTATAACGATAGTGACTCTGATTTTTGATTCGTAGAGCTTAGCCTAAGTTAGAAAGAGAGAGTGATATTACTTTGTATTGATTAAAAATGAGACAGACGTCAACTTTCACAAGGCTGTCATTCATATATGTACAGGATGGTCATGAAGATTTTAGCAATTCTGGAAAAATTTCGATTTTTTGCGTTTTTGAAACTTTCTTGGAAATTAGGGAAACGTATGCCATGGATAAATTTCAGTGCGTTTATTATTAACAATATTAAGCAAATATTCGAAAAGAACTAAATATAAACCAGGTGCATAATGTGTTGCCTACTATCCTCTTTGAGTGTATCGTGTTAGCTTCATAGACATATGAGTATTAGCATATACAATGGTATTAGGTTAGCTGAACACTGCATTTATTTTTTCTGGCATATCTTCTTAAGTAATCGGAATTTTCTGAATTTCTTTAAATCATGGTAATAACTCTTTGTTGATCTTTTTTCTAATTTGACCATCCTATCTGCTCTGGCCCCAAGAACATCCATATCTTGGACACCGTGTATAGTTGTAAAAGTGTACAGCAATATTTTTTTACCCACACCATTGAATAAGTATGATTTTATTCAATTGCCACACTATTGAGTACTACTTTCAAAATATTAGGCAGTAATATCATGTTTCAAGACACACTCTACACCTACACCTACAGGATGGTGATATCAGATTTTTAATTGGGACGAATTATTTCAAAATGGCGACTTTCAACTTTTTAAAAAAATGGAATGCCATCATATTTTTGTTGTTACTGAGATCCTAGAAGCATTATTTTTACGGTATTTTCTTTTGTCTAGTACCGCACGAATGTTTTACAGTTTTTTTGTCCAAATATCAAGTAGTGGTCAACACAAAAGAAACAATAACGCTTCTTGATATTTGAAAAATTTTTTAAGAGAACAAAATCCTGTCGTAAAAAAGAATGTTTTTAGGATCTCAATAATAAAGAAAATGATAGCATTGGCTCACCGTTTAAAGATTTCCAATTGTGAGCTACGATTTTGAATCACCCTGTATTGTTCATAATCATATGTATGGAACAAAAGTGCAGGCATTTATAAAAACACCCAAGATATGCACTTCCAAAATTAAAGAAGTGAATGGGCCATTTATGAAACAAAGATTTAAGTTTACATTTGTTTATGGCGAGCAGGGAAAATATACAAATACATATCAATCCTAAGCCTAATCATATCATGTCACTCCCCTCAAAGGGTGATTGATATGTTTCTTTTGCTACCAAGAACATTAAAAAAAATTTATTAAAATTCTTTAAACCATTTTAATGAAAATGTAGACATTAAAATAATTAACGTTTATTTCTTTTGTTTGGGTGCAGCCTTCTTCTTAGCTTCCCCCTTTTTCGGAACCGCCTTCTTCACTTTCTTCTCAGCTCTAGCTTTCGCGGCTTCTTCCGCCTTCTTTACTTTCTCCGGATGCTTCTTTGCCAGATGTTTCTTGATTGCAGTCAACCTTCTTTCTTTAGTACGCTCTGCTACGACCGCCGGATGATTCTTCGGAAGTGTAACACCACGTTTCTTGGCGAGGGCCAAATCTCTGGCATTTCTGCGTTTTTGTGCAGTGAGGATGGCGTGACGTTTTAGTACGGCGGCGTAAGGATTGAGACGAAGCATGGTTCTGATGTTAGTAAGAGGATTGCGACGACGCACGCTTTTAACAACTTTGCCTCTGTAAATGAAACAATTAATAAGTAAAGTGTAAATAATGTGATTGTACGTACTGTGGTTTACGAAGTGCCTTAAGGATTTCTTCAGATTTCAACAGGCGAGTCAAATCAGTGTTGGCCATTTTCGGTTGAGGTAAATTGTAATCTGTAATTGCACGATTACAATAAAACCGCAGGAGAAATTGTGACCAATTACCTTTTTTAACTTCGGATGACGATGACCAGGTACCGAACAGTTTGTCAAGTTGTTCAAAAGCAGACTGAGTCCAAATAATAAAACGTCCTACATGGCCACCAGGTGCCAACTTTAAGAGATTTAACTTCTTAATGCATATCATATCAACCCCTGGAATATTGCGGAAAGCACGACGTAAACCTTGATCTTTGTTGTACACAATCAATGGTCCTTTACGTTGGATTCTTCTACGGTTACGCATTTTACCTTTACCGGCACGCATACGTTGTGACTTGTACACCTAAATTACAAGGAAAATTAGACTAAGTTTTGATTGTACATTAACTCACCTTTTGAATTTCATCCCATGCTTTAAGCCGTTTAAGAAATAGAACGGCTTGTTTTGTCTTTGTGAATTCTTCAATTTTGTCAGATATGACTAAAGGTAACTCTGGTACCTTCTCAACAACGTGTCCTTTGCTCATTACCAAAGCAGGAACTCCACTCGCTGCAACAGCTGATGAAAGGGCGTAACGACGTTGATTAATATTGATGCGTCTGTGCCAACGCCGCCAAACTTTGGTCGGTGCGAACATGCGTCCACCACGACACATGTTACCAAAAGCACCTTGACCAGAACGGTGAGTACCGCCACCACGTACACGTGGAATACGAGCCACTGCACGACCAGTACCCCAAGACTCGGCAGATGTTTGATGACCTATTACAAAACTGTGTGCCATCTACTCTCACTGTGCATCTGTAGCTTACCTGCTTTGTCGCTAACGGCATACGGTTGTCGGCTATTAAAAGCCATTTGCTGATGAACGAAGTTAACCACATCAGGTCTGATGGGTGCCTTGAAGACGGCAGGCAACGACACCGTAACTCCCTTCACATGCTCTCCTTTTTCGCCATAAACGGATATCAAAGGCCGCGCGGCGGCTAACGACTGCAACGAAATTCACTTAAAATGGTCCCAACGCAAACGCCTCTTTGCAATCAAAAGCACGTGGCGCCGACAACATATGCACGAAAATGTAATTTTTACCGTGCCAGAGTGAATATAACACATGATTAGTTAAAAGTAATCAACGAATTAATGGTTTTCATAATTAATGAGTAGTAAACTTACCATTTTAAATACTTTTTAACGTAATTAATTCACTAAACTAGACGTCCACAACGAACGCCATACAAAAGGATATCACGAATTCTTTATTTTTTTATTCCAAAGAGGGCGTTGCAAGTTTCCGCCGTATCGCTGTAAGCGTAACCACCGAGTCAGAAGGGTATGGAGTGGTTCGTCTACAAAACCTTGAGTTTTACCAAAATCGATTTTTTTAGATTTTACTTTTTGAATTTATTTTTATGTATTAAATAACAACTAATTTAAGTTTGAACATGAGCAATGCGTTTGTAATTGTACGAGCTAGATTTGTACTAGCTGAAGTAAATTGAGATCCTTGAAGAGCTCAAATTTAATTGAGAAATATTTTTTATAACGATTTACCTGGTGTCTTAAAAAATATGGCTATCAACATCTTCAAAAAAAACCTGTACACTTTCCTGCTAAAATGTCAAAGTTCCTCGTAGCGTGTGAGAAGTCGTTATTTATTTCTTATCTAATACTTTACTTCTTTACTTCTACTATTACTCTTCCACTTACTTATTTACTTGTTATTTCCCTTTGTCGTTCTTCTTACATAAGATTAATAAGAATCCCAAATTGTTTCAAATTTTCTTCATAATACGTTTTATAAGTTTATTTATATACCTAATGGTCAATACTATATAAGCAAGCACGCTTATACTAGTTATAATTGTAAATTCTTTTCCTTTTTTATATTCACATAATTAACTTCACATATAATTTAATTTAATTTCTACAATGCAAAGGGTTAAGTGGAAGAGCAGGGCTAATGGATTTCCCGTTAGCATCTGAACTTCGCCCTTTTAAATTGCGCACTTGTACATTTTATTATTAAGATATTCTTGTTACCTTATATGATTAGCGTGATTTAATAAACGACATGATTATTATTATTATTATTATATGCTTGGTTTTTGAAGCTCATTACATAAGGCTTGATAGCTTTCCCAGCCATTAAAATACCTACTTTGTTATAAAAAAGAAATTGAAATCCTTTAGGTTCAAAGTTCTGAGAATATTCCCAACGTTTCAAAATTAAAATGGTGTTTGATATTTATAAATAAGGATCCAAAAGGATTCCCCCAAGCATTTACATACTAAAATGACACACACAGACCGGTTGCACAAACCTATTTGATTCAGGTTTAGTACTAATCCTGGTGATAAGAAAGGTGTGTTTGATTAATTCTTTGACACTATCAGGTCACGGTATTAACACACCCACTATGCACCAAATCGAAATGGCTTAATGTGAGGATAAAAAATGAGCCTTTAACACCGGATAAGTTTTTTGTGAAACTTTTACCTTTAAATCTATTTAAATTATGTGTTGCCTACCATGTGCAGTAAACCAGTAAGTCCTCTGAATAATTGCGATTAAACTTGTATCACCATGACTGCTGCGATTAGTAAAACACAAACATTTTTAGTTAATTTATTTATTTGTTGACCATGAACAGGTAACAATGATTATACATTTGTATCTATTTGGCAACTACAAATTTCTTAGCCTTTCGATTTACAGACAATTTTTAATAGAATAATCACTATAATGCAATAACAATTTGTGCCACTTATAAAATAACATCATTAACCACTTTACAGAGAAATATTTGTAGTATTCCAGCCATTCCATTACGGTCCTTTTCTCTAATCTTGCTTCTGTCTTGAAGTATAGGTAGCTGCAAAATTGCATAATTCAGAAATATGAGAGGACAAAAAAATAAATATAAAAAATAACTTACATTCAGGCTTGGAAAAGTAATCATAAAAATATCATAAACACGGACCAAGAAAATCATCACTAATAATTAAAAGAGCATTAAAGAATAAAAAATACTTACTACCATTATAATTGGCACCTTTGACGCTATTCTTCAATTTTATTCAGTCCAGAACTGTAAAAAAAGACAATTTTAGAATGAAATATATGAGAAGAGTGTAAATAAGACTAGCCAAAAAAGTATCTTCAGGCTTGGAAGAATAATCATAAAAATTTCATAAACACGGACCAAGAAAATCATCATTTATAATTAAACTAGAATTAAACTTTAGACTCTACTTACCACGGTCTACCATAATTGACACCCTGCCTGGAATTATTCACTATCAATCCGGGCTGAATCTGCAAACAATGAGCATTTTAGATACGTATGGGAAAAGCAACAACAAATACAAGGAATTATCTTCAGGCTTGGAAGAATAATCATAAAAATTTCATAAACACGGACCAAGAAAATCATCATTTGTAATTACGAGTAATAATACATATAAACTACTTACTAGTACGCAAATTGAAATCTGGCATTTCCTTTACTTCACGAGACGTACACTTGTATCGAGGAGCTGCAAAAAGTTTATGTTTAGATATGTACGAAGCAGCAGCGTACTTAGAAAAAGAGTTGTATTCAGGCTTGGAAAAATAATCACAAAGATATCATAAACACGGACCAAGAAACTCATCATTAATGTAACATGAGCAAGTGTGTACAAAGCTAAACATAAGTTCATTGAAAAGGGGGGTCAATGATAATACCTTGCACATGTACAGGAAAGCTGTCCTGAGGGAACTACACCAAATGGAGGGGTATCTCCATGCCTGGCCCAAGATTTCACATTGCTATCATTTCCGTAAAGTCAAACTTCTGCTCCATTCTTCACTTGAACTTGGTACAAGAATTAAAGACCTGTAAAAATATACAGTTGAAAAATGCTGGGGGTAGTAGGATAGAGTGGTGGTGAACATAACCTAGAAACACGTGTTCAGTGTTGAAAGTAAATCTACTTTCACTTAAGTTATTTATGACTTATTTAATTAACGATAATGTAATAATAACTGTAAAAATATTTTATTATTTACCTGAACCATTTCAGTTTATGTTGTCTCTTGCAAAGCAAGAAACATGTGACCATTTGACCAAATCGCGGACCAATTGATCGCGCCAAAACGCCAAAAGCCAACAAATAGGAAGTGACGTGACGATTTGATTAAAGTATTTCTTAAAAGTTGGGTCAAATCAGCAACTTGCGAATTGTACAGGTCCGGAGTTGGTATACAAACATGAAAGCAATATAAGTAGCAGATGATTTTCATTTCCGTCACCTAATGCATTTCAGTAACGGCAAAATGCGAGAAGAAATTACAGACATACACTGTACAAAATATTAGTGAAAAATTAACTAAAAAAAATAGTCCATATAGGATTGTTTTTTATTATAATAACAAATTTAAATATAAAAGCACTTTAACAGACCCGTGTTAAATGCGTATCAAAACATTTATTTGTTAATTAACAAATCAGCTTTAATTATATTTTACTCAGTACATGCATCGTTACAAAAAATACCTACTTACATAAAATATCGTAGTCAGTATAGCTTTCTTTAAAGTTTAAATACTTCAAATAACTTATTTGAAGTATTTTGAAGTATTTGAAATTGTCTAATGTATAAGTACTGAAACTATTAGTTATTCTTATTACTTATATTAAATACTTAAAACTAAGTAAGTACTTCTATTGTAAAAACTACTGGGAGGTACATACTTAGAATAAATACTGATAGTGATAATTATCGGTAAAATGTTTTACTTAATCCTCCAAGTACCAGTACGAGTAGGTAATTGTTTTTGTAACTCAAATACTTTCACAAATATTTAGTATTCGAATACTTCGCAAAGTATTTGGATACTTCGTAAAGTATTCGAATACTTCGCAAGGTATTTGAATACTTTGAGAAGTATTCGAATACTTCGCATAGTATTTGAACCTTCCTTTTTTTACCAAAAATCGACTACTCCAAAATTTCTCGGGAAAACACTTTTTCTTATTAATTTTGGTGCGTAGAATCCAAAACAATTCGTACTTTTTCGATCAGACTTCTCAATCTAAAGTTATAGACTAGAAACCAATTTCGAAAGAAAATTCAAAGGGCTGTAACTTTTGAAATAGTAGCCCAATCTTGGAACGGTTTGAAATTATGGATTCTGCAGGCCACATTCTATAAGAAAATTTTTTTTCCGGGTCGATCTGAGAAAATTTTTTTTGCGGGCCTCAAAAAAGGCAGTGTATAACCTTCCTTTTTTACCAAATATCGACTGCACCAAAATTTCTCGGAAAACACTTTTTCTTATTAATTTTGGTGCGTAGAATCCAAAACAATTCGTACTTTTTCGTTCAGTCTTCAGTCTTCTCAATCAAACGTTATAGACTAGAAACCAATTTCGAAAGAAAATTCAAAGGGCTATTTCTTTTGAACTAGTAGCCCAATCTTGGAACTGTTTGAAATTATGGATTCTACAGGCCACATTCTATAAGAAAATTTTCCGGGTGGATCTGAGACAATTTTCTTTTCGGGCCTCAAAAAAAGGCAGTGTATTACCTTCCATTTTACCAAAAATAGACTGCACCAAAATTTCTCGGGAAAACACTTTTTCTTATTAATTTTGGTGCGTAGAATCCAAAACAATTCGTACGTTTTCGATTAAACCTCTCAATAAAAAGTTATGGACAAAAATCAAATTTCGAAAAAAATTCAAAGGGCTATAACTTTTGATCTAGTAGCCCAATCTTCAAACTGTTTGAAATTATGGATTCTACGGGCCAAATTCTATAAGAAAATGTATTTTCCCGGTCGATCTCAGACAATTTTTTTCCGGCCTCAAAAAAAGGCAGTACTTTTAAGTTATTCAAATATTTGAGAACAATTTAGAAATATTTAGGGAAAATCAAATATAAAAATCCGATACATCTGAATACCGAACTCGATAGTCGGCGTAACTTAAAAACAATATAGGGGCCTTTCTTATATCCTTAAAACCATGTGTACCAATTTTCAAAGCGATCGCACGTTTCTAAACAAGTTCTCATGCACATGGACAAACAGATGGTCAAAAATGGATCTGTTCCAAAATCGCTAGGATTAATTTCAGAAAGGCGTACGTATCATGTGCACGACGTACGATCGCTTTGAAAACTGGTACACGTATTCTTAAGGATATAACTGGTATAAGAAAGGTCCTGGTAGGTACTTCCTATATGATAATCGGCCCTATGCTGTATCACTATCGTTAAGAATAACGATATCGTTATGCGGCGTTACCATAATTTTTTAAAAATCGGTATGCTGTATCACTCGTAGCAAGTGTGGGATAACGATTATCGTAATTCTCTATCGTTATTTTGCAACCATAACCAGAAAAACTTAACGACAGGGTTCATGCTACCCGTTTGGGGCGTAACGGTCCTGTCAGCGATTCGTTTGGAGTTTAAGCGGGTGTTAAAGAGAAAGAAAATGAATAATTTTCAAGGATTTTTGCAAGTAGCTTTGTTTGGGCAATTGGAAAATGTAATAAGGAGGTGAGTTCTGTGTCTTTTAATACTCGTAGATTATGTTTTTATTGAGACATGAGGAAAACATCCAACGAAGAATTTTACGAGGCAACAGCGATCCGTTTCAGATGGGTGAAATTGATTTTCAAAAAAATTTTCGAGAATCTGTAAGGCAGTATTTGGTGGTCCATTTCCGCTGGCAAACTCCTGCCACAAATGTTTGATTTTGTTTGCCTCCAACGGTTTTGTCTTTCCGTGGAGGATTATTACTTTCAATAAAATATAACAAGTCCTCAAATTGTTTCCTAGTGGTTTTTCTCCGCCTCTTATTATTCTAAACAACTAGGTATAGGTACACGTACAATTAATAATACAAATAATTTTAAAGAAACGTCTGCATTTCCAAATCTGGCGGGCATTTGTTTAAAGATAAAGCGCGCACCACAACGCCCTCTTATATTTTATCGCTGTGGTATTTCACTCTTACACGCACTGCCGTTGCGCAGCGTTCCTTGTCTTCTAGAATGTGACACTTTTTTCCGAAATAGCCACTGCGAGATACCGGGCAACGTTACGATACCGTTAAAATATTGATACAGCATATCGCGTTTATCGATAGTCGTTGTGGTCATCATAACCTTTGATCGTGAATCTGCGATAACGATTGATCGTATAGAATAACGAGAGTGATACAGCATAGGGTTGAATATTATAATAATTTAATTATAATACTCTTTTACTCCCCTTAAATTTGTATATAACAATAGAAATATAAAAAAGCTAACCCCATACAAAGTATAACTTGTTTTTTTAAGTAGTATTAAGCCTTTTATCTAGAATACTATTTTAAATTTTTAATGTATTTGAGTGACAAGTATTTGAATACTTTTTACTGTATTCGAATACTTTTCAAAGTAAGATAATGAAATTTTTCAAAGTATTCGAATACTTTTTATAGTATTCAAATACCTTTGATAGTATTAGAATACTTTTGAAAGTATTCGAATACCTTTGAAAGTATTCGAATACTTTTGAAAGTATTCGAATACATTCTAAAGTATTTGAATACTTATTTTTTTAAGTATTTGATTACTTTTCAATGTATCTGTATCTAGTATTCACTTGTGCTGGACTTAAAAGTATTTAGTATTCATATACCTTTGATTTGTGTAAAGTATTCACTATTTAGTATTCAAATACTTTTTGAAAGTATTCTGCCCAGCTCTGGTAGGTACCTATAGTTCAGTACAATACAAATTATCACTTTATCAAGCAATAGGTACATATACTTCTCAACTCTCTAGACCCCTGGACTTTTTTATCGCGGCGACGCGGCAGTTACAAAAATTCTTGTTGTATCCAAGTGGTCATTTGTTTTTCCTTTTTAAAGATTTCATAGAACTGTTAAATGTAGGACAGTTTATCGTTTATTTTGTTATCAATTTTGCTTTGGTAGATCATTTAAGTGACAGTTCTGTTTTGGTAACTCGCACTCTGCCACCAATCTGATTTTACTTATCTACACGCTTCTTAACAACGCAATTTAAATTTAGCTGGTTTGGGTACTTTAACTCAAAAGAAAACTAGTTAGGTACACTTTACAGCGACTATGTGAAGTAGCACAAAAGAATGGTGCGTGGCCCTTGAATTTTTTTCACCACAAATCCTTGCAAATGCACGATATAAGAGATCTAGTCTGCGAATATAATTTTTTAACGCACCCAAGTAGTACATTTCGCCACGTGCCCGGCTTTAAACAGAACGTACTAAACTTTTAGGTCTGAATTTGTCGCAACCGCGCTCGCCTTCCGCAATACGTTTCATGTTATCGCTGGTGATTGCCAACATACTTTCGTTCACGTTTGCTATGAAGGGGTACATGTGGAAATTTTCCTATTCTGAAAAAAACACAAATTCAAAAAAATATTTTTTGAAAATGGCTAAGCGACCATTTGTTACAATTTCCTTCTCACAAAGTGCAACATGTTTACCTACGAGAGAAAGAGAGAATCCGAAAATACCATTTTTAGGCACTAATAATAACGGTCCGGTTATCATTACTTCTGGAATAACAGTTCCGTTTCCAAAGTGGAGAGTTCTTCAATCTTCAATTGGTTCCGGACAGGTTCTTTTCGGTTCCCCCGTTTCAAAATAGGTACCTATATGAAATGTCACACAAAATTCTTAGGTTTTGTGAGATGACGAGGAAAATTTTAAAATGATTCCCGGTAACATTTCTGAAATGTCCAAAGAAATCCCCATATTCTTACGAAAACGGGAAGATTACTGAGTGGGGATAAGAAAGTATTATTAAATGTGGGTGAAGAGCTGGCTTTGAGGCGCAAAATAGTTGTTTGAGGCCGATTTCATTACTAACACTTAGAAGGTACCTACACTATATTACAATAATAGCTATTTTCGTTGGACTCGCCTGCGAAATGCTATTTGTTCTTTTATTATCCCTGCTATATCTGAGCTTTAAATGTTGGTGGGGACGTATAGTATGACGGATTGACGCAGGTTTTTTAAGAATAAAATTTGCGGTGGTGAAAAGATAAGACAATAGATCTACACCTTGTAAAGTTGCAGTTTAGTGCCTATAGGCATACCCGTGATACGATTTTTTATTAAACATTGGAACATATATAAAGACTAAAGCTTAACATTGACGCAGGGCACTCCTTTGGATCCGGTACCAGTAACTTTAAAAACAGCACCTGCTGGAGCCGGTTGAGTTTTCCCATCGATGACCAATTGGGCACTAGTCACATACAACTCGTCCAAGTTTGGGCCACCAAAAGTCGCCGATGTAATCTATAAACATATGGATATAATAAATCATTTAAAATCACCGATAATCACCTGCTGCGCAGGAAAATGGATTGTTGTGAGTAACTCTGATGTATTTGGATTCACTTTTAATAATCTAGCACCACTGAAGACAGCAACCCATAAGTTACCATCACTGTCGATAGTCATTCCATCGGGTATACCAGGGATGTTATTCCTTTCAAAGTCAAAAATGACCTTTTTGTTGCCTAGAAGTAATTTATTAGAAACAATTACAGTAGAATGAGGATCTGTTACATATTTCGCCTTTGACCATGTCATAGTCAAATTGGTCGACGGTTCTGAGCGGGGAGTCAATGTAGTACATCTTCTTCAGCTGAACGTTCCAAGCGAGCCCATTTGAGATACTTATGGTTTTCAAATGGGCTTTGACTTGGTTACAATCCAGAGTGTACAATGTGCCTTTATATGGCTCGAGCTGTCCGACCACAGGTTCAGGGCCCATCGTTCCTAAAGCTTTAGGTTACTTTTAACATTTAGCCAGCCGTCCCATACCTGCCCATAGTCTCCCCGTAGGATCTGCTTTCCCATCGTTAAATCTGTTATTAGTAAAACCCTCTTCGTTATCAACGGCTGCGAGCGTTTTGGTGTGTTGAACATGACTGCTGACGCCGTCCCAGACAATTTCCTCAATTTTTCGACCAAGCCCAATTACAAACGTGTTCTTTTTCCCTTCGACTGGTACTGCAAAACCAATCGGCCCTCCTTCTGAAATTGCACTAGAAATATCTTACCCCAAAATTATTATAGGCGCATACCTATTCTAACCTTTGCGTGAGTATCAGTTGAAGGTACATATTTATGAAGGGTTTGGCCCAATATGTCCACATAGTAGAGGGTTTGAGTAGGAATATCCCAATGCGGACCTTCTCCCAATTTAACTCGTTCTGTCACAATATCGATAGTTGGTGACATGATTGCGAACGATGCACGAATAGGAATAGTTGAAAGCGTACTTCTTTTTTATTCTCCAAATCGTAACGAAGTTCTTATCAATTTCGTTTAATTATAACAATTTATTATCGGTTTATTGTTTTTATTAAGAGAAACCATAAATATAATCATATGTACGTAAACACTTTAATTATATTAGAGAACAAAAAGGAACAAAAGCACATCCTCATTTAATCGGTAGGTATTGTGTCGTACAAAGAAGTTCGATAACGGAATTTTTCCACGTTTCTTATCAAGTGAACGCGTAACTATAGCTTAATTCATCACATATATTATAATTATTCTATATACCTACTTAATGATTTCTTTGCTGGAAAGAGACCCTCCGCGTTCATATTTTGTGTTGATCACTTGCTTTTTAAAAAAACTATCAAACTATCAAAGACATGGGAAGCGGTTAGATAAAACTATAATTATTGTACAATGTACCCTGCTGTTACCATGAATTATAACAAAAAAGTCTGAACGGTAATTTTTATTGTGGTTTATTTGTAACTGAGGGGGCTTCATTTTGGAAAATTAGTAATTTTCGAGTAATTCGCAATGCAGGTTTGGTTTTAGTATGTACCTACGTAATATGGTAATACAAGTGACAGAAGGTGTAGTTATAGGTACTTTTGAGCTTCAATTCTGGTACCTATTATGTACAGGGTGGTTCAAATTCGTGTATAAGTTAAATGTGGCTTTTGTGACTAAAAACATGCATTTAAAATGTTTAAAAAATTTACTGAAAAACTGAAAATGTCAAATTTCGTCTTTATTTTCCCTACATCAAACGGTCGGGAATAGACTGATCCGGGATCCCGCTAGCAACAAATTTCTATGGGCACTCTTTTCGAGAACCTGAATCTGTTATCAAAATTTCCATAGCATTTCCATAGCACGCTAGGTGTAGAACTACTTTCTTATTTACGCCATGTTGGATTTTTAGGGATAAAGGAATTGTGCAACCTAAATTACCGTCTGTGGGTCTCTATTCACTCTATCCAAATATGCCTACTGAATCAACATTATGATCTACCTACTTATTTGGCATGCTATTTAAATGATGCCTAAACTTAATCTAACGTTAGAAAAAGACAAATTTTTAATTGGATAGTCATAAAATACCTTTTATACACACAAAATCGTCTTGGTGAACACTACATAGTACATACTTGTACTTAGACTGTCATCACGCACATAAATAAGCCACAGTTGCCAGGGCCGAATTTAGCCAGAATTTTGTACTATATTCTACCATTGTATTTATATATACAGGGTGATTCCTATAGTACCTGCCACCGTTTGGGAGCGTGTAGGTGGTGCGTAGGGGAGTATTTTGATATAGGACACTTGGGGTCGGAAATCTAAAATAAGGGTGCCAGAGCCAAATTTACCTTCTGGAATTTCGCGCCTGTAGGTAGGCACCCAACCGGCCGGCGGTGCACACGGAGCGATCTCAGGCGGCGATGTGTGGCTGACACTTGATCAGAATTTTGTTTAAACCCACGAAATCCCGTCTGCAACGACGCGTATCAAGTGAATAAACACTATGGCAATAGTATAATAATAGTTGGGTAGATGTAGGAAGTGCATTGAGAACAACGGTGGCCACGTTGAACACTTGTAAACGTTATTGCTTTTGACTGTCGTTTTCCCTCCTTCCCTCCCATGTCGCTTCCTCGCGCTAACTTGCTCTGCATCGCTCCGCGCGAAACGTCGATCGGTTGGGTTGCCTACATACAGGCGTGAAATTCCAGAAGATAAATTTGGTTCTGGCGCCCTTATTTTAGATTTCCGACCCCAAGTGTCCTATATCAAAATACTCCCCTAGGCAACCCCTATACGCTCCCAAACGGTGGCAGGTACTATAGGAATCACCCTGTATATACCTACAATGATTGTACTTATATTCTACCATAATTACAAATTACAATAACTCCCTAAGCAGGAACTATAAATTATTGGTAGGTAACTGCCCCTGACAATGACAATGGCCGTGACAGTGACGGTAACAGAGGTAGAGGTAAAGTGATAATGATAGCGCCTGTTACGCAGAAAATGAATAGTAACATATCTGTTTAATGTCTAATTAATGTGATTTAATACTTCACACTCAAGCGAAAAACACTGTTTGTTGATCATAAATGTGACATTCTTTTATATTTCTTTACACTGTACACAACATTTATTAAGCAATATCCTAGTATGGGTATATAACATTAGAATTGAATAAACAATATATTTGTTTAAAATTCATATGTAACTTCTTACCTTATTATAATTCTCAAGCATGGTATGACAATAAGGCAAGGTATAAGAAAATGTTTAGCATAATAAAAAGAGTTTGTTAATCTTTCTTGCTTGAGCGGTTACCGTAATGAAATAAATTATACTTACAAGTTGAATTTTTTTATGAAATCGATTTAAATTACCATTCTCACGTTTTGATAAGTTGTAGTGAATCGTTTTATTGTTGTGAGTTATTATTGCATGGTTGTGTTGAAATACAGTTACTCATTCAAATAAATGCAAGGATATTTGACACGATTTTTTCTATATACCTATTTTTAACGAATATGCGTTTGCAGGTTCTTTTCCAATTAGTGACAACGACCTTCCTTATGCTCTTTCATTACTGACCTACTGAATATTCAGATTATATAATACGCAGTTAATAAACTGAAAAATTGAAAAGCCTGTAACGTATTAATACATATATAGGAAATTATGAATTATCAATTAGATAATTTGAACTGAATTATGAAAGAAAAGTACCTGTCTCCGGCATAGAAATTGTTAAATATTTAAAATTAATTCAATCAACTTCTGTTAATTAAATTTAAGTAACATGATATTTAGAATTGTAGATTGTTGTGGATACAATTCTTCTGATGATGTCAGTCAGTTCTAACTGAAGATGTTAAAAGGTGCTCTTCAACTTACAAGTGATCGGTATTTCAGGCAAATTTTTGTTGCAAACATTTTGGCCCGCTGAACTTTTAAAATAGCAAGGCTCGCTTATTGAAGAACAAGGCCTTATGATTAATCTTGAAAAAGCACGGCATCTCATCTCTCTCTCTCTCGTGGACAAAATTACGGTTTCCCTCCGGATTCTCTGCAGTTTTCTTTGGTGTTCCTACTGAACCGGAATTCGAAGTTTTCACAGGAAAAATCTGTATTCGCGAATGTACATTTTTCAGTTTTTTTGTCGACAACTAAGTTCGCACTGTGCCTAAAATACTATTGTATATGAAATTAAGTAAACCATGTCTTTTTACAAATACTAGCCAATTTTTAGATTTTGAGACCAAGAACAAACCACCCTATAAATGCATATATAAAGGTAGCCCTTGCCCGTCTGAAAAATTATAATTTATTATTTTAATGAAAACTATCTACTTTGCGTAGTGATCAAATGACCGGAGTTTTTGGAAGAAAATCGTATCGAAAGTGTTACTTTTTCCGCGGTTTCATGGCATTTAGTCCTATCTATGAACAATAGCATCAATTTTTCAGTGACAATAAATGTTGAGTATCAATAATAAGTATTATGTAATTATGGGTTATTATAAGGGTGACTAAGCAAAACATTTCGTATACAACACGTTTTGGAAGTGTTTTTAACACTTATTTGCTGCAAGTTCACGAAAAAAAGGTGTTTAAAAACCACTTTTCAAAGGTTGACCAGCCAATGTTTTTGCGATAGTTTCGTTTAGTGTTTTTGTTGATTATTGAAGAATTCCGCAAGCAACTCTGCTTGATCCATTTCGAGTCAGAAATAGGTAGTATGCAAAGATTACTCGGACAAGTAAACAACACGCTAACGTCACTTTCACCTCGTCTCCAAAACTGTTGTGTAGTTGTACACTATTAGTTAACTTCACATGTCTTTGGTTTAGTGAACTTTAATCAATTATAAACGGAACAAGTACAGAGAGTTATCTATACCGAAAAAAGAATATTCTAACGAAGCAATGCCTAAACTAATCATAATATTAATTGACAATTTCCCTTTTTTTCGCGACAACGGCTATTTTTTTGCGGATTAATTGAATTTTAAATTAATAGAACATAATAATAACTTTCAAACTTATAGTCGTACCTACAAATAACACTATCGTACTTCACATATTTTCGTTTCTCTGTTTCATTTTGTTTACAGTGTCCACAAAAGTCCTTTTTTCATTATTATTATTATTATTATTATTATTATTATATAGTAGAAATGGGATTCGAACGTGAATTTATCTACAATGCAAATGTAACACACTAATAAATGGTAGGTACCTATACATTCAAAAGAGGGAACAGGAGTAACCGTTTATTAAAACCAGGGTGCTACAATTGCCAAAAGACCATCTCTAGACAGATAACAGACGGTTTCATTTACGTTAATCCTTTGAGGTAACTCATACGTACGATTTAGACATACGTTCGATTCTACCGTCCCGTTCATAGTTTGTTTAGAACCTGTGGTTTGCTGTGCATTTACCTCAATTTTGTCTGGAGTTACGTTGCATCGTATATCTTGGGGAGCAAAACCGTTTACGTTCACAATAATCTGAGGAAATTAACAAACTAACGTATATCTAATTCCATTAACTCATACCTCAACTCTGTCATCATGAAACTGAACATTGTCCATTTCTTGCTCCAGCAAATTTGGGGTACCTACACGATCCCTGATGGTTGATTCAAAACAAGTGGCTTTGATTTGGCAGTAAATGAATCAAAACGTGTTTACGAAGAAATTTGCATATTTTGGAAAGCTGTGGGTAAGGTGTGGGTCTTCCACATTTCAATTAGTAAATTTACTTTTTTGACATGGTTTGATTTATAAAAATCCCGTCATTGTCAAGTTTTAGTATATAATGACGTCCTGTACTTCAATTGTTTGTTGACAAGCAAAAACCACACTTTCTATGTCCAATTATCCAACAAAATAAGACCTGAAAACCGCAAAATTTTAGGTTTTCGGTAGATTCTATAAGTTCTTCCAAGATAAGTATTGATAGATAGGTATACGAGTATAATGCACTTAAAGTCAATCCTAACTTTCTTGCGTGATTCGTGGGTGGTAGAATCTCTCATGCTATTCTAATTAAAGGTCTCAACAAAGGGAACTGTTTCCTACTAAGTACAAGTCTTCTTTCTTACCCCTCGTCAAAATAGGGGGTTTGGGGTGGAGGGGAGAACTACTCTAATGAATGGTCGCTTCTGAAACCCTCATTAAGAGTACAATAGGTACGTCATTCAAATTAAACGACGAACTATTGTTCATTAATTGGATGCACCCGAGGATTATAACTGTTTGTGTTTGGCTTAGTTAATTTCTTCATCTTCAAAAATGAACCGAAATATTCAAGATAATTGAATAATTAACTGTATAATCTGTAATACAAAAATATAGCACCAAGATCGTTGAAACTAAATTACATTGTATAGCAATATGTTGCTAAACTGTTCAATATTGAAAATTATTTCTTGGAAAAATCAAAACGACTTCTAAATACTAAACTTAAGATTTGGTTACATTATGGAAAACTGTTCAATAGGTACAGAATGTTTTTTAAGGTGTTCCAGAAAACCCCCGATTGTCTATTTAACATCCACTAGGTACTGAATAAGTCTTCTGTCTTTCAAATGATTATTACTAAAATTGGATTTGTAGGTACCATATACCTAGAGGAATACGGAAATGTATCGTTTAGAAATATGGCAATGTTTAAAACACGTTTAAGGCACTACTTAATATCGGCACTACAATTAAAATGATTACCAAATTAGAACAAGTTAATTGCAATATTCATAAGGTAAAAGGTTTTATATTAGTTAATTTCCTCAAAGAGAGAGAGACAGAGGTTGTTGTACTAACTACGTTAAGATATCAAAACAACGCCGGTTTTACTAATATAAATAATAATATATGGGTGGACAACATTGCCACTATACATTTTCCCAACTGGTAAGAAAATAATTCAAGCTTTTGGTATCTACTTATGTAGGCATTTTTATTATTCGTAACTTTGGTGAATTTTAAACACTTTTGGTGGTGCAATTTGTTTAGATTTATACGATATCCCTAATATCTATAGAAAGTCGGGCGGCGATTTCAAATGCCGCCGTTTTCAGTGCAAGAATTAAGTGAACTGTATACATAATATGTATATTAAACTTCTACTGTATTCTTACATCAGAGTTATAAATAATGGATAGGTCATCCACGTCCAGTGAAAGGAAAAGTAACAAGATCCCATCACTTCTCCATAAAAAATTAAATACGGAAATTGTAATTGTAACGCAAATCCTATTTGTAATTTTTTATCTTCAATTATAATGATTAATTCGTTCATTTGTGTGTAAAGGGCATGAACTTAATAGTTTGACTTTCTTAACTATGTTAACTGGTAGATAATTACTTAATGCAAAAAAAACTTCTTTTTATTGCAAGTATAGGTAGTCGTAGTCGCATGTGAAATATGTAAATTCTGATAGATTCGAGGTTAATTACTCTTACTATTTACTATTCTCATTCATCGCATCGTTAGAGGAATTATTAAAGTCGTGGGTGGATCCATCATCCATGTGGTCATCTTAAACAATATTAAAAATAAAATAAGAAAATAAATCCCAGTAATTAAGTTGTTGGGTGTAATTGAATTCATCACAATGAAGCAGTTTCGCAATTTAGTAATCATCTTGATTACACTTTAGTACTTCATCAGTAGCATAATTATTGCCCAAGAAACAATGTAAGGTTGAGCTTCTTTTACCTGGCGTAATTAACACCGTCTACGAATTTGGTAATATGTGCAAGTGTTCTTCACGCGCACCCATTTCTTGGTGTTGCCCAAGTTCCCCGGATTAGAGTAATTTTTAATTTTTATTGCTTGTAATCTCATATCATTAAAATTGGAAACGTGAACCACTTGCACTTCTAGTAGGTACACGATCGTCTGCGCGTGATTCTTACGCTTCCTTATTAGAGGTTTTCCAGTTTCTTTACCTTGATCATATTCGTTTTTAGTTTGGTTTGGTACCTCAGCAACTGACTAATCCAATCGCATTAATTGAAATCAGAACTCTTCGCTGAGCCCTAGCTGGTTTTTTTGATGCCCTAGTTCGCTCTTTTTATTGAAATGAATTTTAGTTTTGAAATGTTCGCTGCAAAAAAATCTCTGTTCTCCTTTATCAAAGAACCTGGCAAAAAATAATCTGATTCAGATTTGACGAGAACTGATAACGGATGTGAAAATGTTCTTTGGTAACAATTAAAAAAGCATGTTCTAAAAAGGCAACAAAGTTTTGTAACATAAATAATCTGATTCAGATACATCACTGAAAGCACTTAGTTTTTAGCGTAACCCAATGTTGGAAGCGGTTATATCCTTCCCCCTTTCCTTCGAGTGTCTGTTACTCTGTTCTCGATCAAACTTCACCTACTGATTTTGCGATTTGTGATATGATCGCGTTTACGGTGTCTAGTTGTGCAAAGTCCGGGAAGGGGAAGTTTAGTAAGGGGAGGAAGGAGTTTGTTCTTTGTTTTCCTAGGTTAGATATCGTACGGATTGATGAACTTTTATTTTTTCTCAATCGAGTGATTTTATGCCGATAAAGAAAGAGTCCCAGCTATGCAGAGACACGGCCTGTCGTAAGAGGCAACTAATGAAGAGAGCAACAGGTGCTTAAGAATTAGGGATGTTTTAGGATTGGTAGTCTAAATTTGTCGTAGTTGCAGCAGGTCTCTTATAATTGCCCTTGGCAGTGTTCATTCCTGTGAAATGTAAAGTATAGTTGAATTAATGTCATGCAAAAAAGTAGATTACAAGTTTATATTAAAGAAAGGAAGAAATATGTTTTGTTACAGAACTGACGGTTTTATACAATATAAATGGAACTAGGTACATAGTGGAATTAATTAAATCAAATGGAAACAATAAAATTAAATGCGAAACATAAAAAGAAATCTGAACAGTAAATAGAAAACAATATCCACACAGTTACAAATACAGTTACTTAAATTCACAATATGATTCTATTGAGATTCACCACTCTGAAATGTCACGTGTGTATTGTCTCATTTACAAATTGCTATACGGTGCTAGATACGGTGTGTACCTATACAGATCTTCAATCTTTAGACAATACCGTCCGGATATGCATGAAGTATACATACAGGGTAGGGGTTTCGCAAGATCCCATAATTGGACCTCTTTCATGCCAGATCGGGATAGTATTTTCATGAGAGAACTATTACAATTACATCTAGTGACCCTACTAACTAAAAGTGAAGAACAAGTTAATAATTAATAATGCACTGCGGTATAAAAGTGGACTACTGCCAACAGTGCCGTTCCGTAGAACGTCCCGGCCTGGTCATGCAATCATAATACCCGGCCCAAAAAATTGAAAATACTCATACTCATATTTACAAAAAAAATATATTCTTTTATTAGTCCACTAAAAGTCAACTGAGGTTGAGTTAGCATTAATTAGCGTTTAGAAAGCAGGTAGAGTGGGTAAAGCTAAAGATAGGATGGCTTGCAGCCTTGCACTTGCGTTGTGCAGTGAGAACAATGGTAGATTTGTCGGTGACTCCAAAAAACATTTTACCTCAGTCAGAGTGAATAAACAGACTATAAAGTGCCTCGTTTATTATTTTTTCGTATGTGTTTCCCGGCCCTGCATTGTCCCGGCCCGGTCAACCACTGTCCTTTCATGACCTCGACGGGACGGCACTGACTGCCAATCAATCAATCAAGCTGTAAGAGAAATAGGCAGTCAGAACCAAAGTACAGATACCACTCAACAAACGATCGATTGAAATAATTAGAGAAATCTTAATTTTATTAAAGTGTTAATAATCCAAAATATCCGGTCGTAACTGCGATTCCCATCAAATCTTCCGAACCGAACTTAACTTCCTTGATTGCATTTAAATTTTGATTTAGGCGACACTGGGTTCGTTACAATTACAGACAAAAAACTTACCCTAACTGATACTTGAAAACCGAAAATCGTATAGAGCTGGTTTCATTTTGGGCTCAAATAATGTCGCAAACATATTCTACTTTACAAAAGAAAATTAAAAAATCGCAGTTTTTTTGCTACCGGAGCGCTTAGACACGTTTTTCATATCCGCAACTTCTACTTTACTATACCTTGATGCTCTAGCTCTAGTCCATAATGTTCTACCAGAATAATTGAAGGTAATCTAACTTAAATTCAGTTGTTTAATTTGATAACGCAAAATAGAACCCGAATAACTGATCTAGAAAACTGATAACTAAGAAAAACATCTACTTTGACCATGTCGTTTAGTCTTTTCTTTTTCTCTTAGTAGGTACGTCGCAGTTCACATCATTCTTTCGGTGTTTTTAATTCATTTCGTTTCTATAATTTTTTCTAAGCGCATAGCCCAGGGCCGCTTCTATTTTCCCTTCAGCGACTTCAACTTCTACTGCATTAGGGGTTACAGCCGCAAGTCCTTGTGTATATAATTAAAACTGTTCTGCAATAAATTTGAAATATTGGCGGTTTGTCCGCGTTCAATGCATTCGTTGGAAAATTTCGATATCGCCAATGGATAGAACAATACTTCATTGTAAAATGCCTAAAGTTTTTTTTAGCAATTGAAAGTTGCCCAAACCAAACCATTACAAATTCTTTGATCATGCTTACCCAAACATCCTATTTTTTGTGTCAGAAAATCAACATTTGCATCAACGTATATATCTTTTAATATCTGAGGGAAGTGTGCCTCTTTACTTTTATACATTGAAAAGTGTTAGTGATAGGAACTCTTGGTAAACGATTGTTTATTGTAAGAATCTTTGTGCCACAAAAGTTTTCTATCCACCCCCGAAGCACATTACCGTAGTGTAGGGTAGGTAATCTCAAATCTGTGCTATGCAAGTATAAGAAAGGGAATAATTAAGAGACTCATCTCTAAAATTAGTACGAAGAGAAAAGCGGAACCAAGGTAACTTATGTGTAATTACACACTTGCAAAAGATTTATTAAGTATGTACTTGAAAATCTATCGGTTATGGTAATACGACATCAACAAGAGTAAGCCAATGTTACCAATTATAAAATTCGTTACAGGAAATAAACATCACCTTTACACCTTAACTGCATTGTTTTGTATTCACCTACACGACTGTGTAGGTATTTATCCTTATTCACGGTTTTTAAAGAAATTGAAACTTGCAGGAAGGAAATCGGTTCGTGAGAGGCCATAAGCATTTGCAATAAAGGAATTGCAGGTGATGCTGATGATCCAACTTCATGCAACCTTGTTCGATTCAGAAAGAAAAATCTTTGTATAACTTTCAAGATGGGACATTGAATTTTGAACTTATTGGTCGATCCTTGACATACAGTCGAGTTTTGCAACACTATAGGCATAATGTCAAAAAAATATTTATGATTAATACTTTATATTCCATGAACTTCCAAAAGGCGGGAGTTGGTTACAACAGGCTCATCTGATACGATCTTGACATTTTCAACTAGTGTAAACAGTAATAAGTGATAGAACAAGTAATAATTATGTAATGAGTGTTTCTTCACCAGTGTGTATTGCACTGACAAATATTTGTTTTGGCAGACTTCCGAAATTCTTCCTCAAGTGAAGTCATTGTGACCTCAGTACCTGCCATCCTCGATTTGTATATCATACTGTTGAAGATCATTGAATCCATCTATGGGGATTATATTTCTTTTATTGATTACAGACACAAATCGTATTCAGAGAGTACCGGTAATTAGTTTCACAAGTAGTAAGGTAAGAGAAGAGAATGATTTACGAAATTCGTCATTAGGAAATATTTGTTATAATTTAATCTTAGCGGGGATTAGTGTTTTACTATGTAAGTTTGGGGGGCAAAATGTGTTTTATATAGAAAGGAGGGCCAAGGTTTTGATTTGACTACTATAAAAGCAAAATTCACCTCGGAATCTTTAGTCGCAAAAAGTAACATGAAGGTAAATACAAACACTTCGCTGATTTACAAAAGTGATTAACATCTTTATCATTGTTTCAGGCGTTTGTCGTTTTAATCTCCGTGGCGGCTATTGCTTCAGTTAAAGGTAGGTACCTAATTTTCTTTTGGTAGTCACGAACAATAATTAACTAATTAAATTATTAGCCTCGTTCGCGCCGATAATGAGGTACCTAATGGAAATTGCTACCCAATTTTCTTGTGAAATTTACGATCTTGCTAAACTGTTATATAAATAATTAAGTAGTAGAACTCAACCAAATACTTTCACATAGCATTCTTTGAAGATTAAACTTTGAAACTGTGAATGTTCCAGTTTGATTAGAATTTTGATACTTAATTGAAAGTTATTATCACACTAGAAAGCGCATTTTCTACAGCATCAGATGATTAAAAGGAAACACTATTTTTGAACTCGATACATAATTATGCTTAAAATTGATCTGTGCACACTAAATCACTTTTAACCCCCTGGGTGTTGTCGAGTAATAAGTTCATCCTCTTTTAGATCACAAAAATGCGCTCCTTACTAAGTATTTTAGTAATATGATAATATTGATGCAATGATGCGTTTTCCAGCTGGCTATCTCGGCGGAGGTGGTGGATATGGAGGAGGAGGTGGATACGGAGGAGGAGGATACGGCGGAGGCGGCGGTTGGAAGGGTGGTTTTGGCGGCGGTGGATTAAGTGGATGGAAAGGAGGCCTAGGAGGTGGATACGGGGGTGGGTCCGGAGGTGGATGGAAGGGTGGTTTCGGAGGAGGAAGTCTCGGAGGATTTGGTGGCGGATACGGGGGCGGAGGTGGATGGAAGGGTGGTTTCGGAGGAGGAAGTCTCGGAGGAATTGGCGGCGGATACGGGGGCGGAGGGGGATGGAAAGGCGGATTCGGAGGAGGTGATTCCTATAAAGTTATAAAAGTTGTGGTTCCCAGCGGTGGAGGAGGTGGATGGAAAGGAGGTTACGGAGGAGGCGGAGGCTGGCAAGGTGGACTTGGAGGAGGCGGTTGGCAAGGAGGAATTGGAGGAGGCGGAGGCGGTTGGCAAGGTGGATATGGAGGAGGATACGGAGGCGGTGGTGGATGGAAATGGTAAACTGTTTACCGTTTGCATGCTATGAACAATGGTTGTGCGTGTTGTCTGTAAATATGTATGTGTTTTCAGTATTCTATTTAATAAATTTTTGTAAACAGACAGTTACATTGATTGCCACTGTAATTAAAAGGTTAACGAATTAACGTATACGTAGATACCTACTACATCAATTATCTCTATACATGAACGGATTTATAATGATTTGACTTCTTATTTTTGTGAAAAATTAGATCATGGTTGGTAGGTATTTACGTTGCATTTTGTGTACGTGGAGGTCACATATTTGACAGCATCCATTTTTTAATGCATCGTCTAACAAATATGAAATAGGCCCAAGCGCCGGCGCAGCGATCCGAGGGGACGCTGCTAAGCTTCTAAATCAAATCGAACATTCGTATTTTAAGACAATCCAACTTGTAAAAAGTAGGATTTCACGGTACATGTGAAAAGTCAATGCCTAATTCTTCACAATTCGTATACGATTAACTCTACGACAAGCTCTCATATCCACATGCTTTCATTATGAAGAGAGCATGTTTTTTGGTACACAGTTTTGCACCTCCAAAAATGTTCAACAATCTAGACCTAATTTTATTCCACTCCAACCACTTCGTGTACTTGTACCATACCAATTAAGTTTCGGAAATCAATTCGGCGTCAGGGTTCAGTCCGGAATATGGTGGGTCCATGTGACGGCTCTGAAATCTGAATGTATGCACGATGGCAATTCTGACCACCTTATACACATATCCATATACATACTTAATCTTATTCATTTATTTTATTTATTTATTTATTCAAAAAACTTTGCAGAACAACAGGCAATGCCCAATAACTGTTCTGCATACGAATTTACAGTTAACAGAAAAGATAATAATAAAAATTTTGACGTACGGGACACTATCTGGTAGGGTAGTCATACCAGTCTCCACCTGAGTAACCAAAAAAGCGCTGGTACCACGAGTGAAATTAAACTTGGGATTTGTCCAATTCGATTGTGACTTTTTTAACGATTTTAGTGCCACCTGCATAAGATTTATTAATATTTTTAATTATCGGAATAGCTTATAGCGTAGTAGATGTAATGCTTGCTACACAAGGGTCAGTTAGTTCACATTACACGAAGGGGTTGCGGGAGGGGACCTAAATAAAACAAAAAAGTTTACCTTTCAATTTAATTTGGGGGAATTACCTTTCCCCTGTATACGTCTTCGAAACCCTCAAGGGTGCAAATTGAATGTTTTTATTTTCGATTCTATCTAATTTAACGTAAATTTTGATGTAAATAAATAGTACGATAGCATCTCGGATGGAACCGTAATTTCGGTTTTTGTTTTCATAATAATCCTTCATTGAAATTCGTAAAAGTCAAGACTTGAATTTGGCTCACCCTGTATCATTAAAGGCACACGGTACATATGTAAACATTTAGGCAACCAACCGTACACAACAGTAATCAGCTGTGTTTGACAGTGGCGCTACTGTCATGTTTCTACTTTTCCAGTTTCAACTCAAAAACACCAAAAAATACCTCCACTCAAACGTGTGTAGAACTAATTTGGTGGCGAATCGCATTTTTCTCAATCGGGAAGATGTTTTTTGTACATTAAATAAAATGTAATTGCTATTAAAAGCGTATACTAACAATGAATACTGTAATTGTGTAAAAGTGTAATTGTTTATCAATTTTTGTGCCTGTAGTGTTGTAAATAATTAAAGTAAGTTTACAAATTGTCCATGCTTACCTTTATTTTCACCCACCCCTCGTATTTTTCAAGTTTTCATTCACTCAAAGTGGTTTGCTTTTTGGTTATCTTGTCAAAATGACGTTTATCATTTAAGTGCAGTTTTTTTATATTTTTATTTATTTATTGCTGCAGGTATGAGTCTAATGCACTACTATGCTAATTTTTATTTCTGTTTTATGACTAATTCATGATATGTGCTTAATAGAATCACATTGTGTTACTCATGTCCTACGAAAGTGGTTAAGTACGAAGACGAAACTTATTAATTGCTCATATTCTTATAGGTTTACCATGGCTTCCATTTACATACCCGTCTGCCTATTCAAAGTTGCTTTACCAATTCTTCTAACAGTATGTAAGTACCTACAAGAATGATGTGCGTGTAGCTATTAGCACAGATGTAAATACACGTACATCTGTGCTATTAGGTAGCCTATTAGATTAATGGTAATTATAACGCGTGCCCCATTTCCCGTGCATTTGATAACTAGGTAAACTATGCCGGCAATTTGATTTGAAGTTTGTCGAGACTGGTTTATGATCAGAAATATGCATTCGCCCTAAAAATTTCAATTGTTAAGAACAGGAGTGTTTATTAATTTACGAGTTAATTTATTGATAAAGATTAATTGGATAGAATGATTCATTTATCAATTTGGAGATTGTGGTAAAGGGTAAACATTAAATTAAGCTTTATTACATGTGTGATTAAATTATCAATTTGATCTCAATTGAATCTGGTGAATAATTTAATTTAGTAATTAATCCAATTATATATCGTACAATTTCTTGTATGAAGTCATGATTAAGATCACGAATATACAGATACACAGTGAGCTAAAAAGTACAACAAGGTACGGGACGAAATAATTACTTTAATGCTCGCTTTAATGTATTTGCAAAGATCTCAAGCTAGCAACTGACTGGACTTTGACATAGGTAAATGTTGATTTTCTTACTCTAATAGGTATTGAGTCATTAATTAGTGATTGGCAGATATGTTACCAATTAGGCTCTGGAAGCTGCTCGGGAAGCTGTACAACTTAATTCTACCAGGTTGGATATTTTATCTGCATATAGTACCCATGAAAAGAAACAAGAAAAAGTTTTAATAAACATAAGTCCACAAACTAAGTGTTGATTTTGTGTCTTAATTTATATATTTTTTAAACACCCTGTATATTTGTGCTACTAGGAGGTATCAACTGTGGCATTATGTGTACCTCTTATAGGCATTATTCAGCAGTACTCATGCATTTTCTTGCATTACTGGACAGTACAAGGCATGTTGTATGTTTATTGTATGGTATGTAGCAAGCCATTGCTGATTAATTTCACAAACCTTAGATGCCTGCAAACGTGAAAAACAATGGTCCCCAATATGTAGGTGAATTTTCATTACTGGATCTATATGCTTTCACCTTTCCCTATGTCAAGGTGTGCATTTGTTGATAATAGCATAAATTCTGCAGCAGAGTTCAAAGTTTTTTTAACATATGCGCGGTTTGCGTCCCCTAGGGTTAACGTTAATTTCAAGTATCGGCAACGGCAACGAAACATTAAAACGTGATGTGAAAATTAATAAAATGTGGTGTCTGAAACACAAACGGTATTATTGAACTCGTACAACATTTGTGGTAAAGTTTACTAATAATTCAGATAGATTTAAAAACAACAATTTCCAAAAAAAATTATTATTTTAAAAACAACAATTTCCAAAAAAAATTATTATTTTAAGGTGTGTTTCTCATAAGAAAGCTTTAGTACAATATTAATAACGCCCCCTTAATACAATAAACACCCCTAACTTCCTTGAGGTTAGAACTGCACGCTAGCGATTAACTTTGTTAACACGTTTTTTCCACAAAAATTCTAGCGAATAATGTTTGACTTCTTTCTTTCCACAAACTTAGCGGACGACCTAAATGCTATGGCGACTTGATGCGCTGGTACCTATCCTCTTTTTCTTTTTACTTCGCTATTTATCTTGCCCCTTAGAAATACCTAAACGGACCCAACGAAAATCACACGTCTAGCGCCCTCTCAGCGCGATTCACATTAAAAGTGAGACCTCTGGTGCCAGCACATTGTCATTAATACAGGTGGGAGAAGATCGCCATTTTGGCCGAAAGTAATCAATGTTGAAGTGTTTATGGCTGTAAAAGTAAATACACTTGCAACAATATCATTTGCAATCAATATGATTACACCTTAAAGAGCAAGGATAGTTTTAAACGTCACATATCACGTTGCTTTCAAGAATGTCCCAAAAACGCAGATAATAATTTAGAAATACATTTCAAAAAAAGAGCGAAGGAATACATTGAAATAAATATAAGTGCTCTATAATTTATGTAATTCAGGATAGTTGACGCTAAATAAGAGAGGCACTGTTAATGTAGTATCTTGTTCGACATTTTTTGGGAAACAAAGTTTTCAGTTTCCGTATCCAGGGACTTCTGAAGAGGTTTATGGGTCAAACAGTTTATCGACGCTATTATTTGTAGGGCTCTGATCCAGCCGATTCGTCATCTTCCTCATCGAGGATTTGCAAAGATAAAAAACCATAAATTAAATGAAAGACGATAGCAAAACTATGAAGGTGGATTATTCTCTTATCTACACTTGTTTGGTATTCGGAGTAAAAGTTTTCATTATCCATATCATGGACTTTTGAACTGGATCATTTTGAGAGGCCTGTCATTTTCCTAATCCATCAGGATTTAGGTTTACCAAGATACAAAGGTATATTCCACTGGATTAATATTCCCCTTACTGCCCAAAAAATACGCAACGGTCTAACACAAATATGGGGATCGATAGGTCTTTCAGAGAAACATTAACTTTAAAATGGGGCTGGCGAGACATTGGTCAAGTTGCTAAAAAAAAGTTACAGTAATGGGCATGCAGAGTGCACGAAGTATATGGGCACGCACGTGTGCGGGGAGGGTAGCAAATTTTTCAGTCGTGTCGCGTATCTGCAATTACTTAACAAGAAAGAAACAGCATTAAATCAAGTTCGGGCTGGTCCATATAGTGCGTTTTGCCGTTGGTCCTACGAAATTAGAGATTAAAAATTGGTTGTGTGATAAATTACAAATAAATTCAACAGAAAGTGAGGTCATAGAACTGAACTCACTTGAATCATTGAATAAAAACACTATTTTTATTCAATGCTTGAATACTGATTTTATATTTGTAATGCGTTTTTGTCTTGGTTTTTGTTGCAGAATTTGCATTCAAAAACAAATTACAATGCTCTTGCCGATTATTAGATACCTACACGGCCCTGACTTATTTGGTAGATTCTGTGCATTAATGAGTGGGTATTCAATTGTAACTTCCCACTCCTGTCATTCTCATGCACTACCCAGTAAGAAATAATAGTTTTCTCATTTTCATCATCAACAGACCATTACAGCTTATGAAATTGTGAGACAAATGAAACGCTTTTTCAATGCTCTTTGCTGTAACTAAAATTGGAAAGACGTACAGGATTTTCCCACTAGTAACCTCGTAACCTTTAGCGTTACTAGATTCGTCTACTGGCGTTTAAAATGAGTAATTCAATCAAAGGTCGGCTTGTAGGTGATTGATCTTACCATAAAGCGTGAGAGATTATAAATATGGCAATTTTCAATTGCATTATTATTAACTCAGGATGTGAAACATTCGATTTTCAGGGAATTGCGGTAGGTATTTTTAAATATGAATCATTTTCCTTAAAGCAGACTTAGTTTTGTAAGGGGCATGGTAATTTTTAGCGCCCATGATTCTATCCGTGCATCTGAGGATTTGAAATCTCATTGAGACGTTGTCGAAAAGAGCTTTCTCGAGAACACCTCTGTACCTGTGGGAGTGTGTGTATTTGAAAGAATGTGTAACTACTGATACTGTTAATAAAGAAAAAGAAAAGCTAGTGGTCATTTTAAAAAATTGATCTACGCATGCGGTTAAAAGGTGTATTGGCGCATGCGCAAACTTACGTAGACACTCAGTTCCACTGTAATCCATATTAAAAATTTCTGTTATACGTTTCCTACTTTACAAACTTGGCCAGTGCTATGCTATACATATTAATTTAATTTGTTGTAAATACCGAGCAGAGATATTTCTATTCAAGCAAACTTGGATCGTGTCGCCGATGGAGGAATGCCTATTTTTAATTTGCTCAAGGGCTATATTTAATTACATTAGCAGACTAATAGATTGTTGTCCTAATTCCCATTATTTCATTTCCTGGGAATTGCTATTAGATTGTCTGCGGCATATCGCGTGGCGACGAAGGATTAAACTTTTCGCGTTAAATGTAAAAAAAACAAAGTTTAATCAATATTTACTTGGTGCAAATAACGATAAGGTTAAAATATTGTCCTGTCAGATTCTTCGCTACCATGAGCGGGCAAAATGACGCAAGTTAATCATTTGCTCAAGTTGTTATTGTGTATTTTTCGTAGCAGCAAAATTGTGAAATACAACTTGGGTAAAATACCTACCTGAAACTTTCCATTTGTAAAAGATCGTCATCCTTTTCACTTTTGTCATAATTTAAAAATTGCATTAGATACCCACACATGTACATTGGCAATTCTTGATTATGATAGGAGAGTGGACAGGGTCCACATCCTCTCTTTCGCTTCCCGAATGTTCTCTCCATACATTTACTTTCTCCAAATTTGTTCTCGGGAGATTAGGCTTGTGCATATTTTAAGAAGAAGACTGTGCATCCCTAAACGAGGGTGTGAATAAATCCTCATCTAAATTAATTTTTTGGAAATTTGAAAAAAACTGCAATTTTTGTTTGGAGAATCCGTTAATTTCATCCTCTTATATGATTCTTAAGAAAAAATTACAGGAGAAACATTTACCATTAATTATTGTGAATTTTCTTTGGCCGATAATTTGGGAAGAGGAAGGAAGAATTTTGTAACAGAAATAGAAAGGAATTTTATGGGTTTGGTGAATGTGTTTTCAAGGGAGAGTTTTCTTAGGTCGATTATATGAATTTTCTACATGCATTTCAGTAACATTCCAACGTCCCACCATACATTTCTCGAGCCGGTGGGAATGCAGGCAGTCTGTTTCTTCTTCCGAGAGGCCCACAAATTGACTTGCTTCAAAAGGAAATCGAGTTTGGAGAGGATTTCGCACATTACTTAATCAGAAGCCTACCAAATAAAAGCCTTTTGTCACTTGTAATTATCGGTCACCTAATTACCTTCAACGTAACTTGCGGTTATAAATAGGCCATGAAAGAAAAGCGGTTTCAAAACTGAAATTATCGGGCTCTTGAATTCCTGTTTTTTTTTTTACTATTGTTTCATAGTATGGCTATACCCCAGTCTAACTCGGTAT